ATATATATTTCTTATATACTCCTCCATGGTACATATGGAACTTGGAGGAAGGTAGAGAAGATCGTATACTTGTTATAAATAAAACTTAAAACATACATGTACTAATGATAAACTAGTGATTAAAAGGTTTAAGATAAGTTATTTGTTGTTGTGCATAATTATTTAATTAAGTGAACATACAATTTTTGAAAGTTAATCTAACTTTAAAGTAGATAAATAAACAAAGTTATTCTAACAACTTCATTTTACTTTAATTTTTATGTTTCTCATACCTTGTTATCTGGTTCTTTTCTTAGCCCTGATGATGGCCTGAACTTCAGGTCGAAACGTCGGCATATGTAAAAATAAATATTATCATTCATTTTTGCCTTCTTTTTTGAATGACCACCCCAACTATTCTTCTCTTCATTATTCACGACAGTCAACCATTTACCAATTATAGATAAATAAACAAAGTATAATTTAGATTTGTACAGATGTGAGCCAAAATATTTTAGAATATATATTTTTAAAATAATGAATTTTAACATTTACAAAAAATAGATTGTAAAAATTGTTTCTTGAATTATATAAAATGCTTCTAATTTTTCTTGATTGCCTGTCCAGTTTTTAAAATAAAAATTTTATTAAATATCAACAAATTTGCTCTTTTTTTTTTTTAACTTAAAAATCGTCGATATTTCCACAATAATGTTTAGTGTCTCAGGTTTCATAAAATTAACAGAAATTTTTTTTAAGATCCTATGTTGATCTTAATCGTACATTTATGTTCTATAAAAAATCACATTGCCATCCCCACATATATTATTACAGTAAAGCTCGAAATCTGTTCTGTACCAAATATAAGCTCCTATCATGCTCAAATACCATGAATGGGGTACCATTGGATTCAGAATTTCACGGGGGGTTATCAAATCGTATTCTCCACTTATGTTTTTCTTTATAAAATCGATACAAACATTTTGCTAGGCTTTAATACTGGAACGGTGGTAGGTCTGTAGATCGATACTGGACAAATCAGACCTTGAAGATTTTGATGCGCACAGCAAGACCCGGATAGTTCCTACAGAATTATTGGATCATGCGTTTTTAAGCCCAAAAATGTACTATTTTCGAGATAACGCAAGGAATAGGATTCGCATCCACACAGCCTTACGTTAAATGTAGTACTGTCATTCAATACATGTCTCATTTCGTCGACTTGAGGCCTCTATGATCGAGAGAGGAGGAGTTTATATAATTTACCGATGGTGTTTTTGATCAGCAAGCCGTATCATCGTTAATTCTTCACCAAATCTCAAGATAGAACCACCAATTTCGAAGGCTTCCTTCTCCTTCAGGCGGAGAAAATAGTCCAATCACCCTGAAAATTCAGGCAAACAAGTTATGAAAGAAAACAAACTTTATTTGCGAATAACTAAAAAAATACACACTTTTCCCTCGGTTATGCCCATGATTACATAATATATTACTAAATTGCCTACAAAAGGGAAAAAAAAATCATCGAAATCGGACAATTTTCAGGAAAGATACAACATATTGAAATTTGTAAACATGTTGGTACTAAACATTAATGAAGATTTAAATTAATTTTTGTTTCCTTTGTCGATTATATTTATCGATAAAGTAACAATTGATTTCTTTATCTTCTGATACGTTGCATTATTTTATTTTCTTATTTATTTGGCATTTGATAACAATATGCTGTGCAAAAAATTCGCACGGGCCTTCTAGTCTAAAATAATATTAAGAACACTGAGTAAAAACAGAAATTGTCTAATAACTTAAATTCAACCACCAACGAAACCAAATTCAAAGTTTGATAGAATTATTGATTATTTTCTCTTGTAGTTATTTTGAGAACCATTTTCTAATAGAACTGTTCATTTTTATCTTCAACTTGATATGAGTATAGTATGTTTCTTCATCTGTTTTAATTCACCAATAACTCAATTTTTAAAATAAATGCAATCACATTATTTAAATACAAAACAACAATAAATTATGACGAAACAGATTAAAGTTTTATTTTTAAAAAGTTTCGGAATCACTGGAATTTTTACTGTTAATAGTTTTTAGCTCAAACTTTAGTTGTTATTTTTAAACTTGAAGAAATACTAGTTAAACTTTTACGATAAATCTGGAACTTTATTACAAAAAGGTTCCTGAGGACTTTTATTTTTAAGACTTTTTTCTTAAACATTATCACAAAAACTGTTAAAATGAAACTTTTTAAAGAAGTTTTACTTTTAAAAAAATGCAATAAATTATTATTTTAACAATTTATTAATTATTATTATTATTTTAAATTATAACTGTTATCGGAGGTTTGTTAATTTACACATATAAAATACACCACCCTTTCACTTTGTAATATAAATGTTATTAGTAAAAAAGGTAATCTGCATTCTGGGAAAGTTCTGATTGATAACAGTCAATCGACAAACCATTAGATACTAATTCTCTATGAAACCTCTTCCACTTTATGACTAAATGTCATCCTACAGATTCAACTTGAAATTAAGGTTTTTTTTATAGAAGTAATGAATATATGAAACATATATAAAAAATGGCCTTATCAAAGACGATCATCTTGTCATTTTCAGAAAGTGGAGAAAAATTCAAAATTTGTTTTATAGGTTCAACTCAAATTGTTTCTGAATATTTTAATTAAGAATGTTCAAGTTAAATCATGAAAAAATATAAAAATAGAATTGAAGTTGTGTCACAAAAATTAGCTTTTTCTCAACTTTAAAAAATGCTAGATGTACATCTTTGATGTGAAGCCACTCATATCTCTTAGTATTTTATAAGTTCAGGAATAAATTTTATTGAATTGATTTTAAATCAAAGTTAATGTTTTCTTCAACAAAGACTAGAAAGTGTGGATATAGTCATCATACCCAGCAATCACATACTAAATGATAATGATCTGTGATCTTTTTTATTTCGATTACAGGTTTTAATAACATAATATTTTATATATCGGTATATTATGTAAACAAATATTTAATCCTTATAATACTTTGGATAATTACTTCAGGCTAATGATACTCATAATTATTTTATTTTAAATCTGTATTTGATAAGTTGAAGTTCTATTCAATAAATTTATTTTGATTATTTTTTTTTTTTCAATAAAAAATTTATGACATTACTGTATACTTTTTCAGGAAGCAATATTCCAGTATGGAATTTGGAAACAACAGGTCGCAATTGGTAGGAACATTACGAGATTAACAGCCCAATAAACAAGTAATTGTTGGGATATTCTAGTTAAGTCTTATTCTGTAAGGAAGATGTATCATCATAGGCGAACCAATACTGGATCGAGCTAAAGAAGAATGTGCAGTTTAGGAATTTAGAAAGTTCCTTATCAACTCATAATTTGATATGTTAAAGAAATTTTTATTTGTATAATAAATATTTTTTAAAAAATACAATTAACTGACTCTTATATAATAATTCAAATAAAAAAATTTTCCTAATTCAACATAATATAAAATTGAGTATACAAATATAAAATATTGATTTTGGCAACAAAGGAATAATTCAGATAAAATTGAAACATTGTAAAAATAAAGTATTCCTTAATTTAAAGAAATTATAGTTATATTATTTTTCACAATGTTCAATATATGCCTTCATTAACTTATGAAAGACTTTTTATATTGTATTGTAAGTTAAACATTTTTTTCTCTTATAACAATAATAATTATACAAACAAATTTAATCAGTAAATATGTGACTGTTTAAAACTAAGTTGAAAGAAGCAAATTACATTGCGAGATTTTATCATTTGTCTAAAAAATTATATGGAAAACTGGGCCTTACAAAAGCTTTTGAGTGAGAGACTAGAATACAAGAAAACAGTCTAGCAATTCTACACAGCAGTGAAGAGTAACTTACATTTAATACTTGGAAAATGCCTATTAATTAAAATTTAACAGGTGCGTTATAAGTCTGTTTTGAACATTTTTTACATTAACAAGCACTGCACAACTCACCAAAGACAAGTAAGTTACAAACTGATCAATTCTAATACAACCTTCTGTTTCTATGAGCAGATTTATCTTGTCCTGTCAACTGGTGACTCGATTTATGCAGTTTAACCTCTGCCGAGTATCGTAACATTAAGACAGAACTTAACATTTGAACACAATTCATTGGCAGTTTGATTGCAGATGCTCACGAATTAGGTTCATAATAACTACTTCGAAGACTTTTTGGTAACTATAAGGATACAGCTCAGCCAATAACATCATTAAGAGGAGGTACTAGCATTAATTTTATTATTCCTCATCATCAATAAAAGTCTATTTAAAGAATATTTCATCGCAAGTCAATGACAGGTTAGAAGGAAATAGTAATGGTAGTACCACCAAACCCACTCTGCTATTTAAAAAACTATATAAATCTATTGTTGAGCTGTTTACATCAAGTGCCAACACATTTAGTAAATAACATTATACAATTTCAACAATCACATAAACAACAATAATTTCCTTTTATATCATAACAATCCCCAGTTCCAACTGTTGCATACCATCTTAGTCACGTTGGTCGAGACTTCTACTTTAATTAATCACAAACTGCCTCACTTAAAATTAAGTTTTATCAATTATTAATATAACCTTAGGATGAAGTATCATACTTTAAAATAATAAAATGAGATATATTATACATAAAAATAATTTACAATCATAATCAAACTAATAAATAGTTGCCAACAAACTTCTTTCTAATAGTCTTTTCTTTTATTAATATACACATGCAGTCAACCTATATACATAAATATTAAATTTAAAAGTCTTTAAAACATTCTCATTGGTAATAGAAATATAACATACGATCACAATATATTTGGTAATGATTACTTTTTATGTAATATTTGGCAAATGTAAGAAGAAAAAACTTAAAAGAAAGATTAAAATTAAACAAGGAATAACCAACAAAATAAAGGAAAGGAATAAGACTCGTTGAAAACGAATTGGCTCTGGTTAAGCAGCAAGAAGATTTTTAATCTGTTTTGGTGTTGCGTCTTCGTTGAGGTGCTTTGTCGTATACCTGAAGAAAAATAAATATATAATAAAAAATTATTGGATTTAATAACTAAATACTCATTAATGACAGCTGGTCTACTAGAACATTTTTATGAAATTCTCTAATTGTTGGGGGGGAGGGGAGGGGAAATTATTTTAAAGGTGTAACCAATCTATTTTAACCTGAGTGAGAATATCAAGATTCATTCTTTGAGCCACATAAGGGTAGATTCGAAACAAGAGCCACTTGAATCAAGATTGTCACACCTTAACACTCAGTTAACACAGCTTTGATGTACCATTTATATACTTGTGTATATTTATAAACTTTTTGTGACCATTATAATGATAATGAATAATACCAGATGATTCACACTTGCTTCTCCAAGCTTGCATAAGTACTGGACTTACAGTATTTTTCACTTTTGGTGTTATATTTCATGACTTTTTCAGGGTAGAAAAAATTTTCTTTAATCACAGATTCAAAACTTGTGACTTTAATCACAATTACTTATGATCACGGGCGGATCTACAGGGGGAGGGGCTTTCGGGCTGAAGCCCTCCCCCCCCCCCCCCAAAAATGGCAAAATATAACCATGTTTTATGGAAAAAAATATTAAAAAATTATCTCTTAAAGTCTTATTGTTCGTGTAATTACATATAAAAGGACTTAAGGAATCACTTAAACACCATTTCATATAGATAGTTAGTTTCTTTCTTTTTTTCCAAAGTAATTATCGTCATTTTTATGAAAAAAAAAGCTTTCGGGCTGAAGCCCCCCCCCCCAAAATCAAATCCTGGATCCGCTAGTGCTTATGATTGAGAAGTAAGTAAAGTAAGGGTAAAGAGATTTGTCAAACTCTGGTGACTAAACTATTTGTTCAAAAGAAGAGTGAAAATAATTTTATTATTACTAAAATAAAAATAATAATTAACTAAGGTCAAGTTGATTTAATTGATCTATTTAAAATAAAACTTAAGTAGTATTTATATAGATTATTCTAAATTTAAAAATTAGTTGATGTGCAGCAATACACAAAATTTGAAAATCTTAAGGCTCAGTCAAAGGAGTTAAAAAGAAATAAAAAAATTGATAGATTAAGTGAAGGATTTATGTATAATCTTATTCATTTTAAGTGAACCTCTCTCACCAGTTAGTGAGGTTTTGATAAATTAAGTTCAAGCTATAAAGTTATTAAAAAAAAAAAAAGTTCAAGAAGCGATCGATAACCACATTGCAAAAGCCTGGACGAATAAAAATTGAAAATTTCCAGGAGACAAAAAAACTGTAACTTTTGTTCTATGAGCATTATATTTTTTGGTTAAATTTGTTTGTTAAGCCCTAAGACAAAGATGTAATACTCTATGTAACTGTTTTGATCGTATTTCTGACAAATAATCTTTTAGAGCCATTAGTTCTAACTTAAAGCGTTTTACTATCCTTTCTTTTTCATGTATTACATAAAAGAATCTCATTTTCATTTTGTTAGAATTAAAGCAAAAATAAGAAAACATGATTTCAATACAGAATAAATTGTAAAATTATTTAATACAAACTGATTAAGATTTTTCTTGGTGATCTATCTTGACTACTCTAGTCTGCAGTGGACTGAGGACTTACTGTCTATGAGCTGATCTACTGAGCCTTTAATATTTATAATCTTATTCACAAAAATGATACAGTGCTAAGAAAGGGTACAAAATAGAAGAATTACTTAGTCATTATCCCTCATTACCTTAAAGCATTAAGAAGGGGTTCTGATTTGATGGGTGCCTGTTCTCGGAGCAGTCTTACGCATCCTTTGACGTCAACAGGTGATGATCTCACAAAGGCCCCCTGTGGATGAATGTGGTCATACAGAATGATCAATCCTACCATGACCCTTAGCACAAGGAGTTCAGTCTCTTCCCGCTCAAACTGACCGGCCAGGCTCCTACAGGCAAAAATAATTTTAAATCTCAGTTAAAAAACATAAGACACAGTATTGATACGGACAATATGAATATTAATTTATTATTTGGTAAATCTGGTTTATGCATTGTTTAACAAAAATACAGCTGATTCCCTCTGTATCTATCTTGTTAGGGATTAGGACAGAGACAGGTGGTATAAATATTAAATATGTAATTTATTATAATCAAGATAAAGTAGAGATGGGCATAATTGGAATCAAAGATTACAACTAAAAATAAAACTTTATGACCATGTCAATTTTACACTTAATTTAATAGCACTATAAATATAGCAAAAATGTGACCTGATTACTATTGTGAGGAATCAGAGATTGAAGAGGAAGTAAGGTTAGAAACGAGAGGGTTTGAAAGGTTCTGAAGTTTGTTATGGAAGGATAGGTATGTGGATTGAACCATATCGGAAACATATGGTACATTAAGGTCATTATGGATGATTTAATTTGTGACTAAGTAAGGAACAATGAGCATTTTACGAAGGATTTGGGATTGTAAGGATTGGATACAAAGAGGAATTCGATGGTTTTAGTAGAGCCCCAAAGCTCAATTTATTTAGTCCAAATAGGAAGACCTTATATTAGTCATACATATGAGTCTTTGATAATTAATTGAAAGCTTAGATCGTTTGTCTAGTAAGTATTGAAGTAATCAGAAACATTGAGCAGTTTCTTGTCGTTTCAGTCTTATACCAAGTCCTAGGTATCAAATTTGTTCAACAGGAATAAGAAAAGTATTATCAAAGGATACTGTAGGACAGGAAGTCAAAGATTTACGACAAAGAGTAAAGGTGATTTGATGGGATTTAATGGAATTAATTTTAATCCTCCAGTTTTGACACCATTCTTCAAGATTTGTGATGTGTCAATGAAGAGTTCGGATCTCCAGCCAGATTTGTACCAGCAATGCTAAACCTGAGAATGTTAAGAAGGTAATGCTTTAACTAACTCTGCCATCAAGACCTTGAATACAAAAAATCTAGCAGTTGAGCATGATTCTGGTCAAATCAGCTCCTTGCACCGCTGTTGACCACGAAACAGTACTTCCTTACAAATAACTGAACCTGACTCTCCATGGGTGTGAGGTGGTAAAGATTTAATAATTAATATTTTAAAAAAATACCACAATGACAGTAGGTAATAGAGCTTATTAGGCAAACCTGAAGCTTTTAGAATCTCAAATTAATGTCTAATACAACCTAAGAGGATTGCCCAAAACTAAGCGGTTGAGAGAAACATAAATAAAATGATTTATAAAACAAGAGTTAACGGTAAACGGGAAATCAAAAGAAATGTTGAGAATGAAAATTTATTACAGAATAAGAATATTGTTAGCTGTTGGGTCAACGCAAGTAAAATAAGATGGTCAGAACAGAGAGAAATGAAAAAAGGTAATTACGCAAACCATAGGTCCTACTAGCCTGTAGTGTCAGGGAATCCGATCACTGAATCAATGTTGATAAAAACTCACCTCTAGAATATTTTAGCACCTCAATGAAATGTAATAATAAGAAATAACAGTAAGCTAAGTGAACCATTTAAAAAGTTATATGAGAAGGAGTTAGTCGAGGGTGCGCTCAAATAAATAAAAAAAAATTAAAATAATTAATATATTTTAATTTTTTTTTTTTATTTATTTGACCGCACCGTCGACTAACTCCTTCTCATATTATATCAACGGTCAACCATCTCTACATCATTAAAAAGTTATAATTTAAGATTAAGTGGAAGCTCGATAAATAAATACCAGACTAAAGCTTTAACAGCCTGTAATTATGATTTTATATTTTAATGTAGCATCTAACATATTATACAAGTAAATAAAAATCAACTCACGGAGTCTCAAGCATCCGTAGACAAACCTTCGCCATTGTAGCAAGAGTCTCCGTTGTATTCTCAATTGGAATAATATCCTTGTTCTAAAAGTTTATCAATAATTTCAATATTAATCATAAATTTTAATAATAGTAATAACAATTATGAACAAAAAAAAATTAAATTAACAGTAAAAAATAATACCTGCTTTACGAAGTTCTCAGTTGCCTGTGTTAGTGCCCTGAGCATAGGAGTAGCCTGGGCATAAAAAAGGGACATCCTGTTGGCGAGTTCAGTACTAACGGCAGCTTCACCTTCAATGGTGTTGAAGCCTCTCCTCGTAACGCTACGCCTGTAGTAACTCAAGTCATTTTGCAGTGCAGGAGTCTTCATCTACAAATTAATTATTTTTTATCACTAAATATTTGTGTAAGTGCTGCTAATGATTTATACATTGTTGAACTGACAGATATTCGGTTAAAAAATAAATTACTAGCTCATCAAGATCAAGAAAAGGAAAAAATATAATAAAAATACTTAATTATAAGATTCAAATCATCATAGCTTATAACAAAATCTTTAATAATAAAAACACATTAGATCCAAATAGTCCTACTTTATTTTTACGTTTTAGCCCTTAGGCCATTTTCATTGTGTGAAGGTTTTAATAATAGACAATTAAGTATTGCGATGGAGTACTAATTTAGTCCGTATGATTTTATTTTTATAATAAAAAAAGGATTCTTCCCTTGACAATAGTCTAAGGGTTGAAACGTAAAAATAAAGTAGGACCATCATGATCTAATGGGTGTTTCTATGGTTACAAATAAAGCGAAGTCCTACCTATCCAAAAATATTGAAGTAAGTATAAATAGAACAATTTTTACTTTTATAACTCTAAATAAAAGAAAGAGAAAATCTCTGATTTTTGATTTTACATTTTTACTTCATGAAAATCAAGAAAAAATAAACAATAATAATTATATATATATATATATATATATATATATATATATATATATATATATATATATATATACATCTAATCACTGACCAATTAAGGAGTAGAAATTTTTATCTTCATTTCTTCCAGTTAATAAATATAAATAATATGGCTGAGGGTTGCAGTCACAGATAAAAAAAAAAAGATTTATTTTTATTTTTATCTCTGACTGACTTCCTAATCCCCATCCCTATTAACTAGAGTAAACTATTTCTCCATCAATGTAAATAATAATAAGAACAGACTCAAGAGTAATGGTTAGGTTATATAAATAAAATGTGCAATAGCTTGGAAATCTGGTCTCTAATTATGTGTTGGGTGGCGGGCATAGAGTTTTTATTCAATGAGAATTGCAAGTAGGTATAACATTTGTAAAATTTAAAAAGAAAATGTAAACAGTATCTATAAAAAAGAATATATCGCTGCTGTTAGTGCAAAAGGTCGTCCGTAACAATTTTACATGTTTATTCTGTTTGCTCTAAAGGTGATATTTTGTAGTCAGTAACCGCTGTAAGTAGCCTGTTAAATAGGAAAATAGCAGAGCGAAATAAAACATGAAATCATGCTAAACTATCATAAACAAATAACCAGTTTTTATGCCCTTCTGTAAAAAAGTTAATTTTTATATGCCTCCTTTTGCACTAACGAAATGAATTTTTTTAATTTTATATATTTTTCTTGTATTGGATAAGGCCATTTATAATTAAAATTAATTAGAAGAGATAAGAGTTACAACTAGATATAAAATAAATTTAATGCAATGTTATCAACAGTCATTCATTTTTTATTTTTACTACCTAAGAAAGAGATTAAACAAAACATTAGTGATGATATTATATTAGATAATTGAATTATTACTTTCAAATAGTTCATTTATATGTTAGAATTTTATTTCTTTAAAATATTGTTAGATTTTTAAATTTTAAATATATGTAAATTTAAAAATTGTAAAACATTTGAATTGAAAAATTGTTTATCTGCAGCGCACCACGTAAACAATAAAGATTGAAAAAAATAAATAAATTACTAATTTATTATATATTACAATAATAATCGCTCAATCTTACAATTAATTATATTAGTTATTAATTAAAATAAATTTTCAACATAAATATATTTTATTGAAAACATGTCAATCTTCAGCAGAGAATTTTATATTTATTATTAACAATATCAAAACAAAGAAATTTACCTTGTATTCATCAAATTTAAGAACAAATTCCAAGATATCTGCAAACTGTTTTACTAATGCTTGTTGGGACTCTAAATGCTGCGTAGGGCTCATAATGCCAGAGCACAATTCATCGAGTATCAATGGGACAACCCTTTCTGTAAACAAAATATTCAAAATATAAATTATACTTAAAAATAAATGAACATGGCTAATCAAAAATAATTAATGCTCACGTATATCCAATGAGAAGAAGTAGAAAGCTTTGAGCCTCGCAACAAGGGGCAGCACAACAACCCACGCAGCTGCTACAGCTTCATCGGTCGGCGTTGTGATAGCTTCCCTTATTTCACGACCTGCTCCCTTATACAATGCTAATTCAGATAAAATCCCTTCGGCTGATGCTAGCACATTTTTCACCTCCTGGTAGGTTTCTAGTTCACTCTCACTTGGTTCACCATCTGAGTTAAAAATACTGGTTATAAACAATGTAATCTTGAAAAAACATTTCTATCAAGTTTTTAAAATGAGTATTAAATAATTATTTTTCAACCTAAATCTGATAGAAGGCAAAATTCATTTAAATAGATTTAAAAAATCAAACATTATTCTGCGACCAGATTCTTAAAAACTTAACATGTACATAAAACAGAAAACAAATATAGCCAAAAATACTATATTAATAAAAATTTGAACAGTGAAAAAATAGTGAAAATAAAGAAAAAAGATAAGAAAATAAATTATTAAAGGAAATTAGTCGACTGTTCTACATATCATGTGTGAAATATAATCAGGAAACAGTCGGTTTTTAAAAATATTTACTTGCCAGTGTTTCAACTCAAGCATGTGGATCATCATCAGGGCATGTTACCATCACTGAAAGTGTTCAAGTACTCAAGTAGGTAAAGGTGTAGGGTAAGTGGGGATATGAATGAGAATGAGGAAGAGGTAAAGTGAATATTAAAAGGTAGGGAATCCCGAAGAGTAGTGAAGAGACATTCATCAGAAACAGGGTATCGATCTTGTTTTGGTGGATGGATTGAAGAAGGCAGTAGGTGTTGGAAGGATGATGGGAGTTGATAGTATGGTTTAGGTAAGATAGTAAGAAATATTGACTACGGGCAGATAGAAAGAATTATGTTAATTCAATATAAAAATGGAATGCAACCAACCATCTCAACGTACCGAAAATTAAAACACTCATTTATTAAATTTAAAAAAAATCCTGAGCTAAATTACAATAAAAAGATTCCTCAATTCTAAACAAAATTTAAAAAATAATATTTCAAATAATTGTCATACACTAAGTATAATTCAATTCAGTAGTATGGATCTTTTTTCCTTATTTATCATTCCCACTTAAGGACGATTTTGACAAACGATGTCAAAAGAAAAGAATTTTCATGAAAAAGCGACAAATTTCAATTTAGGTCTTTAAAATACAATATTTAGATATGGAGATGTAATTGACTGTTAAAATTATAAGGATGAAAAATTTGCCGACATTTCGACCCAAAGATGAGGGTTATCACCCAGGGAATGAATTCATTTATTAACAATATATATAAAACATATAATCATTGATATAAAAATGTAAGCGCTATTAACATTCCAACTGTAGAAATCGAGAAAGGACACAGTGGGTTTTAAATATAAGGATAATATTTTAATATAGGGTTTTAAATACATAGATGGTAGCTTTGCAGATCTTAGAGCATACCAGACCTAGTGTTTTTAAGGCCCTAAAGATTACTCATTTAGAGATAACACCTTGGCCCACCCTTGTTATAGCCATAGCTTCCTAGATACCTCAGTTGGCATATCGCACATCCTTCAGGTTTGTAAAATTAAAATTTTGCTATCTATTCAAGCCTATAGCAAAATAAAATCCTATTGAAAAGTTAAAAAAAGGATAATGAAAAAATGTTTCAATATTCTTATGAAAATTAACATATTTCAATTATTTTTAATGTTAATATATTTCATGATTAATAATTGAGAAAACTAAACTAAAAATCCTGCTCTCTGCTTCAATCCATAAGATCTCAGCGAATAAAATGTTAGGTTGAGAAAAATTTAAGAGTTGAACCTTATTGCTTAGCTGTTAAGCTGAAGGAATGTTTTCAGATGGGGGAAGCTAATTATTAGTAAGTAAATTGTTACATTAATAACTATTATAAATTAACTAACTTCACCGATATTGTGAATTGAATAGACTTTTTAGGTAATATTATATAATTTATATCATATTTCCCATGTCACTTATGCATTGAATGTATTGAGGATATGAAGAATAGATATCTAATGTGAGATCTTGCTTGTGTTTACTAATTTATATGAAGTCTAATAAATAAATAAAAAATAAATGTGTCATTACGCATATCACAGCTTTAATATAAAGATACAATGATGCAATATTGGTAATTAAAATAAATGGACAATATAGAATAGTAGTTATGTCATTTTGTTCTCTAAAGAGCACAAGTAGACAAACATAATGAAAAAACAGCAATATATTTTTAAGAATAAGGACTTTCAACTGTAATTAACTAGACCACATGCAGAGATTTCCAATGTATTGAACATTAATCTCATAATGTGGTTAACATTTATAGGAAATTGGGCTTCAAAATTATATAACTATTGGTAGAGTTCACAAAAAGACTATATCAAATAGTACATACTTTCAAAATCAAGAAATAGATCATATTTTTGAGGAGTGCAACAATTAGAATCATCTCTTGCTAATAAACTGAGGAGTTTTCCCATATTAATTCACTGTTATTCTTCAAACATTTAGTAACCTGCAATTAAACAATACGTCATTAATATAGGAATGGCAAAATTCCGAGAAAACAATGAGTAAAATAAATGGGTCAGCGAAATAGGTATACAAACAGAGACGTGTTTTGTATACAAAATAAGGATGTTGAAAATAGGACATTAAAAACTATTTGTTAGATATTATGGATCTTCTAAATGAAGTTATTTATGAAATTTCTAGAGCTTTAAATTAAGAAAATATATAACTTACCTAAAAATGTAGGCATGGGAAGATTTAAAATAGCAAGTTAACCAAGCTACCTTCCTTATTATCAGGCATCCGCCTGGCTTGATAAGAGCCGAATCAACCAATTATTATGAATTAGTCTCTGCAGTTACACTTCTTTGAATACACACAATTTAACTATTTTTAGTAACGGAAAACAAGTATTTTATAAGGTTTTATACTATCAATATTTAAATTAAAACTACAAATCTAAATTCCCAAATTGTTAAAAACACCGAAAATACATTAAAATGAAACAATTAACTTTGACAATATAATTCTATCAACCCTAAGTCCTAAGGAAGAACACTGTGAAGTCCCCGAATAAAAAAAAACCTGTGCGTAGTTCGTGCGTCATACCAAATTTCCGTTTGCTCACTTGCATCCTCATAGCCCATTTCATTCCTTATAAATTCTTCAGCTCATTACAAGTTCTTAGATGGAAGTTTGAATATTCAGCTACAATATTTCTGTAGCTTGCTCTCTATGAATATTTTCTTTAATATCGAACAACAAAGTTTTTCATTGTTAATACTAGTGAAAAAATTTCTATTAACTTCACTGAAATATTGACTTGGTACATTGTAAACAAGAATTTGTTAAATAATTTTTATTACTAAATATTTGTTATTGACGAATGATTTTCCAAAACTGTACTTATTGCTCCTCTGGAGCCAATTAAAATTTATTTTATAGTATAAATTTTAAAAGCATTTTGTAGATACGTGAGTTTGGCCTGTTGTACCCGAATTATAATTTTGTAACTTCAAATGTCTCAGGCAAAAAAAAAAACATTTAAGAAAATGCTCGAGAAACAAACTAGGTTTGTTAGTGTACCATTATAAATATAAAAAATTGTATTTCAATAGAATCTGACCCATAAATAAAATCCAAAAATTGACTAAAGCACATACTTATCAGCATTGCCGGCCTTAGACATTCGGTGCTACCCCGTGCAATGGCGTCATCTTCCTTCCTAAAAAAAATAATTTATTTCTTAAGCTGTTATGTTATGTAATATTTGAATTTTATTTTTCTAATACAGTTGCTTTATTGATAGGCTAAAATTAATTATTATAATACTTTTATTTTTTATAGCGATTGCTCCGGTGGTCCCACGCTAAGGCCGGTACTGCTTATCCGTATTAATACTTCTATATTTTTTTCCCCGCCTTAAAACAAAGAGATTATCGATTCTTCTTCTTATATATATATATATATATATATATATATATATATATATATATATATATATATATATATATATATATATATTCATTCTCGCCACAATTTCGCCATTTTTCAACCGATTCATGTTATTATTTTTTAATCAAAAGGGTTTTCATTAAGGGCGAATCTTCTCGCTTAAATGTAAAACCTAAAATCACGAGAAAGGGGTGCCACTGGGCATTCTTCTTCCTCACCCTTAAAATTGTCATACTATTCTACTTATTGACAGTACATTGACTAGCTGTCAGTATTTCTGACAAGTATGAGTAAATAAATTAAGTTTTTAACAAAAACAAATATGCTTTATCATACAATTTTCGTCAAAAATGCTTTACGATTTAATATTATAATATTTTATGATATTTATCAAATTCTGTTGCTGGAGAGTTGCATAGCGCAAGTTGCGCCACCAAAATGTCTGAGGAGTGCACTTTTTTACAAGATTTTGAATTTTTTAGAGGGGCACTTATTGGAATACATAGTTTCCATTTGGAGCGACCTTCAAACGAGGGAGCAAGGAGGAAACATAAAACCTACCAAGGCAAGTGTAATTGTATACAACCTACTTTTTTTTTAAATTCCACTTTCGCTTTCAAGAAGAGGAAAGCTGTAAACTGTTTTTGGGGGGTATCAAGCGCCATTGGCCTTAAAGGGAATGGACATCCCAGATTGTCTGGAGGGAGGGTGTACACGAAAAAACGCTTGCACTGAAGCGCAGTGGTCTCTCCTGATTTTTAAGACCGAGGTTTTAAAGGAAATACTGAGAACTAATTTTGAATGTTGTCTTAAATTTCATTTCAAATTTTTTGAAACCTATTTTTCATATTTAACCTGTTATAAGAAATCTTAACTTTGTCATAAATTTTCAAAAAGGTGCCGTAAATGCTAAAATTTCACGTAAATATCTAATTATATTTATCTATCAACAATCTTCGACTGTTAAAACGAGGTAAAGTGTTTTACACCTAACAAGCAGTTTTCAGATACATTCCCCCCCCCAAGAATTACCTCAACAAAAGAGAGGGAGGCGAAACAAAAACTGCCGGTAGTTTTCACAGCGAGAAATCTGTTCATCATACATAAAGTTTTATCGTCAGTGACAAGTTTTTTATTTTATTTAATTTAGGTGAAAACACAGTTTTATAGTAATTCCGATAATTATTTATAATTTACACTTAATTATTTACATCGATAAGTAGCGTATTGATCTTTTGTAGCTTGTTGTTGTTGTTGTTCTAGAGAGGTTATTTAGTTTCAGGTTGACGTAGTGTCGTGTGATATCTGGGATATCAACATGAATATTTTGCCGAAAAAAAGGTAACTGCTTAACTTTTATTTGTTTAATAGTTTTAAGATTTAAATTAATGAAAAAGTAAATACATTTATACATTACATTCACAGTAACTATAATTTAATTTCACCTCAGATGAGCACATTCAGCAAAATGATATCACCATAATAATCACTACCATAGATAAACAAGAAGTATTAATAAGATAGATCTTTAATATTTCTTGTTTATCTATTGTAGTATTATTATAGTGATATAATTTTGTTGTATGAGCTCATCTGAGGTGAAATTAAATTATAATTACTGTGAATACATAAGCTATTCAAAAGAAAGTATAGTATAAATTTTTTTGTGTGTATAAGGCATTTTTAAAAACTCTATATAAATGTTTACAGGTGGCATGTTCGGACTAAGGAGAACATTGCTAGAGTAAGAAGGGATGAAGCTCAAGCTGCTGAAGAAGAAAAAGAAAGGCAAAGGAGAATAGAATTAGCTGTAAGTTCATTTAAATTGTTTTTATTTAGTTTCATCCAAATTTGCTTATTAATTAATATTTTATTAATAAAATATTTATTTTAATTCCAGGAAAAAGAAGCAAGGACTAATCTTCTTAGAGAAAAAGCACGTGCCAATTATGATGGAAGAGACAGTGAAAAGAAATCAAGTGATAATGCTAACATATCACAAAAGCATATAAACTTTTTTGAAGATCTTGAGAAAGGTGATGATCAGCTTATTAAATCAAATAAAGAATATGAAAAAGAAAAAAAAGAAGAAACTGAGAAATATGAAAAGCAGATTGGCTATCTCACCTATTTGGGACAAGATACAAATGAAGCCACTGGCAATGTTTCTTGGTATAATAAATTACCTGACCGAAATTCTACTAATGAACCTGAAATTACAGTTGAAAAGAAAGCTCGATACGATCCACTCACCAAGATAAATTTTTATCTTGGTCGAAAAAATGATATAACTCAGAATAGTAATTCATCTCTTAAAAAGAAAGATAAAAAGAAACGAAAGAAGAAGAGAAAGAGGAGTAGGAGTTCTTCTGGCAGTTCAGATTCGGAATCTTCATCTAAGCCCTCCAAGGTTAGCATTGAAGAGCTGCGAGCTAAAAGATTAAAAAGAGAAAATGAAGAAAAATTAAGAGCAGCTGCTTTATTAGCTAAGCTTAGGGGTGACATCACACCTGTAGAAACACAACCAAAAGAACCCATTTTAAAACAAAAGTACAATTCTCAATTTAATCCTCATATAGCTAAGCAGAACAGTTATGTTTAGGTTAAACAAATTGTATATATAGTATAAACAAAAATAAGATTTATGTTTTTTGTTTTTTTAATTGTAAATATTATGAAGCACCATACTTTTGTTCAGAGACTAGTAATATCATTTTTGTACATTTCTGTAAATATTTCTTTAAATCAGTTATCTAGATATAAATTCTAAAAATTAAATAAAAGTGTTTATTTAAAATTACTGTTTTCACTAGGCATGAATCCTTTTAGTATTGATAACTGATGGTGTTGCCCAAATAAATTTTCCAAAAAAAAGACTCGTCTTGGTCTCGCGCACTCAATATTGTTCTTGGTCTTGCCCAAGAGTTTCGCAACAGTCTTGCAGTTACCTATTAGCTTATTACTATAGAGATTTTCAGATGGGGGAAACCTAACTAAGCCCAAATGAAAATTTGGAAGAGTTAAATGCAAAAGTATATTGATTATACCAATTCTTTACATATAGTAACTAAAATTGTCAAATATTAATGACTATTTTGCCTTAATTTTTATTCACAAAATTTTTTTTACCGGTCTTGGTTACTTTGCAAGACCAAGATTGATTTTGGGCATCACTAATAACTGATTATATATTGGGCTGAATCATTTAAAGGAATACTCAAGAACATACATATTTTTATCGAATAGAGTATAAAGAGAAATAATATATTTTTTAAGTTATAGGTCTTAAATAATATACTTTTAACTCCCATATAATTCTCCTGTCATCTCCCCTGGACTGGGAAAACCCATATAGCCTTAAAGAAGAGAAAAGGAAGAAAAAAAAAAACAGATTGTTGACCAAAAATAATTTTGAATCTATTACAATTAATATAGAAGATTAAATCTGATGGGTACTTTTAAAAAGTAATACAGTATAGTCGACATAAGTTATGAGACTGAAGTAAAAATTTATAACTAATGAAATATCACTCTGTGATTCATATATCTACTTAAGGCTCCTACACACAGAACGCAATATATTCTGCTGATTCAATATTCTTTTGTATCACTGCAGAGTATCATGCTCTGTGTAACTGTTGTAATACAATAGATAATAATACAACTATATCCTCCCCCCAATTCGCTAGCTACAGAAATATTTCTTGCGGAGACATATCGCATTCTGTATGTAGGAGCCTTAAAAACGTATATTTCAAGTAAAGTTATTTGAACAGATCTTAAATTTTAATGCAATAATTACAAAGTAATCAATGAAGTGAAACAGTTATTTCTATACAAAAGTTTTGTGAAATACAGTAATAATTCTTTTCAGATTAAAATCATAATTCTGTACCGAAAACAGAGATGGGCAAATTCTACTTGGAACACCCAGTACCATGGGTGCCCATCCTCCCCAAGGTTGATTGCTCAATAACCTACCTGCCAAGATATTTTATTGCTCACTTTTCTTAAAATCCGAAGAAGCTAAGGTGGAATTAAAAAAATTCCCCTTGTCCCTTAGCCCGAAACTTCATAATCCCGTCGAAATTTGCTTTCTCTCCTCAAAAATTTTGATGGCGCCGCTTGCGCCATGAAACTCCCTTCTGGGCACCCCTGCCGAGTACCGTGTGTATTAATCAAATACTAACCTTTTTGGAGTACCAAAGAATATAATTATTACTTCAGTTGATGTAAAAAGATTAAATGAAGTAGTGATAGAATCCCCAATAGTGATACAATTTGAGTAAAATAATTGTGCTCGGTACTCAGAGTAGCATTTTTCCATCTCTGACCGAAACCAGAGGAGAAGGCAAATAATGGAATTTCCTCCTGGACGAAAACTTCCTCCTTTATTATATAGAAATCTGAAAAGTTGGGAAAATTTGAGAACACAATATAAACTGCGAAAATTATGGTTGGACATTCCAGAGGTGCCCAAAAGGGGGTTTTATGGCGCAAGTTGCACCATCACAATTTTTGAGGGGGGTATATTTCGACGAAGTTATGAATTTTCGAAATGAAAAATTTCAAACAAGGTGACAAAGGGAGTAGATGTAACAAACCTCAGCAAGTGTAATTGTATATGATTTATGGTACTTTTATTTCTACTGTTTTTAAGAAGAGGAGAGCAACAAAACTTTGAGAAGGGGAGGGGAAGGTTCATGCGCCATCGTCCTTGGGGGGGGAGATGTACACTCCTGGAACATTCTACACAAAGAGTAACTAAAACCGAAAACCAACAAAAATATCTCGTTACCGGTGACAGTGTTGGGCAAAAATTATCTATAGCTAACAGATAACAGATAACAGCTAAATTAGCTATTAGCGGGCAGATAATTCTGCAACTAAATTAGCTATTAGCGGGACCAAGCCGCTAACTTTTAGCGCAAGTTAACTTTTAGCTGTTCTTACCGCTAACCGCTAATTATCTTTATCTGTATCTTCAACTAAAAGCTAATAGCTAATTCTTCGGATTTCATTGGTCTTAGAGTCGACTATTAGGTTTTGGGGGGCGTTTTTTATAAAAATAATGTCGGATTTTAGGTGTGACCCCCTCCTCGCCCCCCCGGGCACCGACTTATCGTAACTTTTCTGATTTTATCGATATATGGGTCGACTATTAGGTTTTGGGGGGCGCTTTTTATGAAAATAATGTCGGATTTTAGGTGTGACCCCCTCCTCGCCCCCCCGGGCACCGACTTATCGTAACTTTTCTGATTTTATCGATATATGGGTCTACTATTAGGTTTTGGGGGGCGCTTTTTATGAAAATAATGTCGGATTTTAGGTGTGACCCCTCCTCCCCCCCCGGGCACCGACTTATCGTAACTTTTCTGATTTTATCGATATATGGGTCTACTATTAGGTTTTGGGGGGCGCTTTTTATGAAAATAATGTCGGATTTTAGGTGTGACCCCTCCTCCCCCCCCGGGCACCGACTTATCGTAACTTTTCTGATTTAATCGATATATGGGTCGACTATTAGGTTTTGGGGGGCGCTTTTTATGAAAATAATGTCGGATTTTAGGTGTGACCCCTCCCCCCCCCCGGGCACCGACTTTTTGTAACTTTTCTGTCTTAATCGATATATGGGTCGACTATTAGGTTTTGGGGGGCGCTTTTTATGAAAATAATGTCGGATTTTAGGTGTGACCCCTCCCCCCCCCCGGGCACCGACTTTTTGTAACTTTTCTGATTTAATCGATATCAGGGCCGGCTATTAGGTTTTGGGGGGCGCTTTTTATGAAAATGATATCAAATTTGAGATTGGGCTCCCCGGGGCTCGACTTTTTTTAACTTTTCCGATTAGATCGATATTAGGTTCGACTATTATGTTTTGGTGGGAAATTTTTTATGAAAATAATATCAAATTTGAGATTGGGCCCCCCGGGCACGACTTTTTTTAACTTTTTTGATTAAATCGATATTAGGGTCTACTCTTATGTTTTGAAATTTGCTTTTTATGAAAATGATATCGGAATACGCCCCCCCAAACCTAATAATTGACTCTAACATCGCTTAAATCTGAAATGTTACAAAAAGCCGGAGCCCGTAGGGGGGGGAGGGGTCACACCTAAAATCCGACATTATTTTCATAAAAAGCGCCCCCCAAAACCTAATAGTCGACCCATATATCGATTAAGTCAGAAAAGTTACAAAAAGTCGGTGCCCGGGGGGGGGAGAGGGGGAGGGGTCACACCTAAAATCCGACATTATTTTCATAAAAAGCGCCCCCCAAAACCTAATAGTCGACCCATATATCGATTAAGTCAGAAAAGTTACAAAAAGTCGGTGCCCGGGGGGGAGGGGGAGGGGTCACACCTAAAATCCGACATTATTTTCATAAAAAGCGCCCCCCAAAACCTAATAGTCGACCCATATATCGATTAAGTCAGAAAAGTTACAAAAAGTCGGTGCCCGGGGGGGGGGGAGGGGGAGGGGTCACACCTAAAATCCGACATTATTTTCATAAAAAGCGCCCCCCAAAACATAATAGTCGACCCATATATCGATTAAGTCAGAAAAGTTACAAAAAGTCGGTGCCCGGGGGGGGGGGAGGGAGAGGGGTCACACCTAAAATCCGACATTATTTTCATAAAAAGCGCCCCCCAAAACCTAATAGTCGACCCATATATCGATTAAGTCAGAAAAGTTACAAAAAGTCGGTGCCCGGGGGGGGGGGAGGGAGAGGGGTCACACCTAAAATCCGACATTATTTTCATAAAAAGCGCCCCCCAAAACCTAATAGTCGACCCATATATCGATTAAGTCAGAAAAGTTACAAAAAGTCGGTGCCCGGGGGGGGGAGGGGGAGGGGTCACACCTAAAATCCGACATTATTTTCATAAAAAGCGCCCCCCAAAACCTAATAGTCGACCCATATATCGATTAAGTCAGAAAAGTTACAAAAAGTCGGTGCCCGGGGCAATTTTCATAATAAGCTCTCCTGATTACATAACAGTCGATCCTGATATCAATGAAATAAATAAAATTTCTTCTAGTGTTAGCGGTAAGTTAGCTTTTAGTTAAGTTAATAGATAATTTAGCTTAAGCTAAAAGTTAGCGGTTCGTTTCCGCTAATAGCTAATTTAGCGCTAAAGTTATCTGCGCTAAAACAGCTGGAAGCTAAATTAGCGTAATATTTAGCGCCGCTAATTTTAGCTGTTTAGCGCTACGTTAGCTAGTTAAAAATTAGCGCGCTAACGCCCAACTCTGACCGGTGATAGGCAATCTGCCTGGTGGGACGCGGCACTTGTTTTGGGCTGGAGTCCTTCAAAATACAATTTTTTTTTTTTCATAGCCCCATATTTGTCTGGAGGCACGGGCGGATCTACGGGGGGGGGGGCTTTCGGGCTGAAGCCCCCCCCAAAATGGAAAAATATAACCCTGTTTTATGGGGAAAAAAAATGAAAAAATACCTCTTAAAGTATTATTGTTCGTGTATTTACGTTTAAAAGTACTTAAGGAATAACTTAAACACCATTTCATATAGGTAGTTAGTTTCTTTCTGTTTTTCCAAAGTAATTATCGTTATTTTTATAAAAAAAAAAAGGTTTCGGGCTGAAGCCCCCCCCCCCAAAATTAAATCCTGGATCCGCTAGTGTCTGGAGGTGGTTTGAGCTAAATACTTAATTAATCACAATATGTATTCTTCTTAAATTATAACGCATATACAGCTACTAAATGTAAACATGTTATTAACATTTAAATTTTTTTTTTTTTTACATGTCTTCAAGGACCACTTAAACATCGCTTTATATAGTTTCTTTCCTTTCATTCTAGTGCCATTACCGCTAAAACCAAGAAGAAAAAAAACGAAGTAAATACTGAATCCGCTATTGGCAACAGGTAAGTGTAAAGTCCAGATTATATCAGAGTTGAGAAACTTAACAATATTTCTCCACCAAATTAATACATCGCATTTTATTATTATTTTTTTTTAAATATTTCTTTTAAGTTTTGTTCTCGTTGATTAAACACGACAAAACAAAAAATAGTTAGACATTATTGAGATAGAAAGAATAGAAACACTGAATTGTTCTATACTTTTTTTTGTTTAACTTAAATTTGATTACTACCTACACTAGGACAATAGTAGTTAGGTATCTTTCCGGCTCTCAAGAACAATAGATTTTTATGAATGTTTTGGTTCATTATTATGAATGGACTATTGTAATTCGATAAAGACATTGTATTAACTTATTTCTATATAATTTAGTCATTTTTTACTGACCAATACAGTATGCGAATTATTTGCATGCACGGAGCAACTAGAACTACTATTATACTATAAAACAATAAAAAGAGATGGAACCCATCACGTTACCTTTTCAGAATATGTTAAGGTGCGTTAAAACATTTCACAAACTATGAGGAAAACAAATATATAAATGGTTGTTTCACTATACTATTGTTTTTGTTTCTTGATGTTTTCTATCTGTTGTCGGAAACAAGAGAAATGAAAAAAAAAAAGTTGGACTTTACGATAATGTTGCTATTAGTTAGATAATTGTTTTCCATAGTTTGTGAAATGTCTAAATGCATCTTTAACATATCTTTGAACAAACATTTTTTTTTTTGACCAAACATTGTTCTTTGAAGGCGTTTCCGTCATTCAAATCATAATCTAAATGTTTAAAAATGACACTGCAATTCATATGATTTAATGACTTTGGTAACGTTAGTTAAATTAAGAGACTATTTATCATCAAACTTCTAAGATACGTTGATATTTTTCAAGATCCACTTAGATATTTTTCGAAAGTTGTGTTTGCTCCCGCCCCCGCTGGTGGACTAGGTAGGCGGAATATCAATAAACGAACGCCTGACATGCGTTCTGCGGGAGGGCCCCACCTAGCAGCGTGGATCAGAGCTTCCTCGAGAGATGGACTTCAAGAACAAGATCGCTCTGATAACGGGCGGTGCTGGGGGTATCGGAAAGGCGTATGCAGAAGAACTTCTCAAACTAGGAGCGAAGGTAAGGTGCAGGTGTCAGGACTCAAAAAATTAGTATGGATATGAAATCAAACGATAACATACCGACTTATCCATAGCATACTTTTGCATCACTGTTGTTAAAGTTCGAATTTGATTTTAAATTTTCTGTTTACCTTCTTATAAAAGATCCATTGACAGTTTATTTAAATTTGCAACAAAATTATCTCTGTTTCAAATATTTTCAAATGAACTGAAGATTTGATCAATGGTAACTTACTATTAAATTATAACATAATTAGCTTCTCGACTGTAAATATACTCAATTTGAAATATATTCAATACTCAATGAAGATTCTAATGAATGTCACTGAAAAAAAAACCAAAACAAATCAATATTTAATGTAACATATGCCCAATAACACCCTTCTTTTTTTATTAAACTTAGGGTAGATGTAATGAATTAAACAACATAATAAAGTCAGAGCTCCTCTTGTTTTTTTTTACTCAGGTAATAAAAAAAAAAACCTGATTATTATAAAACTGATTATTTCTTTATGATTTATTAGTATAATTTCATATTTTATTTCCCTTTACTATTCCAGAATAGTAGACTGGACATATAGAATTAACATAAAAATTTGTTACATACAACCTTTTGCTCCAACAGTTATGAAAACAAAAATTACTTACTATTGTTCCTTAAAAAGTGATTAAAGGTATAACATATTGAAGGCTATATGAAAGGTCTGTAAGTAATTAAAATTATGATCATCAGTGTATTCTCTGATTACTTCCATTTCAAAATGTGAACTGAAGGAATAAAGAAATATATTTCCCTATCTAAATAAAAAAAAAGGTCTAATTACATAAGACAATTTTAATACTATTGCTAAGCGCCTTAGCTCTTCATACAAACAGGTATTAAAAGCTGATATAATAGAATGAATTGATACATTTATGAGCAGAAAATATAGCTCGTTATTGAATGTTATCTGAAATAAATGTTTTATATAAATCAGCTCAATAATATTCAAAGCTTTCTTATAAAAAAAAATTAACATTAGTGAATAGTTCTATAAATGTGTAATGTGAACTATAGATATATTTTTTTATTCTTAGTGCAGTCTTAAATATATTGTTATTTATTTTTTTTTAGGTGTCCATTTGTGATTTGGATGAAGAAAATGGAGAATTGCTTGCACAGCAGTGCAACTTAATGTATGGCCACAACCGGGCTTTATTTTGCTTATGTGACGTAACAGATTATCCACAATTTGAAGGTACAATTTTAGACTTAGATCTTTAATTTTAAAATAGCTGAAAGATAATTTGAAAAAAGAATTTGCTAATGTCTTAACCCAATCATTTGGGACATCTTGAAGGCAAGTTTACACCGAGTTCCTGAGAGACTGATTCCAGGTTAGGTAGGATCTAGAATATGAACTGTATTGGTGCACACTTCTCCTCAAGATAGTTCATACGATTGGATTAAAATATTGGCTATAAACATTATGAAATAACGACTGAGTCTTGATTGTTTATCATCCAAGATTTTTAAGAGTATTGCCTTTCCACCAGGACTTAAAATAGATTTTAATGTCTGAAATATTTTTTAATATTAAATACTTAATATATAATTTTTGAGCTGCAGGGATTAAATTTTACTGCTAGGAGCAATAATATTAAATTGATATCATATCAATCATTGTTTCATCCTAGAGAGTTATTTTCAACTATGATGGTTGGGTAATTACTGAAAGCATAATTAGCTAATATAGAAATAGTTTGAGATCTATGGTTTAAATATACTGAATCCTAGGCAATTTTATGAATTGCCTATTATGCCTTAATTATCATATTAACAATTAATGTTTGTAGTCAATTATGCCATTTAACAGTTTATCTGTCAATGCCATTTAACAGGTGCCTGGTTTTCAAGACAGTCTGGTCTTTTTTAATATCTAATTCTCATTTTCATATAAACAGGAAACATGCCAGGATTTTAATTGGTTTAGTTCAATATTGTAGTATTTGACATCACTCTTTGTTTTTCACATATAGGATTTTGAATGTAATTTTTAATGGAATTATAAAACTAATAACATCATGTTTTAATCAATATTACAAAGAACATTTCATAATTAATGTCTTACTATGATTTTTATATAATTCAATGATGAACCAATTGTGATCACAACATTTAATTTGTAGCTGCTTTCCAAACTACTGTATCTGTGTTTGGTGGCTTAGACATAGTCGTCAACAATGCAGGAATTTTCAATGACAGATTTTGGGAGCTGGAAGTTGATGTAAATCTCGTAAGTACTGATAATGTTATTTACATTTAGATAATGCGTTGAGTAAAATAATATTAATACAAAGATTTTAGTTAGAATTATGGTTTAAATAAAATAAATGGCTTATAATAGCGGCTTTAAAGTATTTTGTTAAAATTCAAGAATAGACAACATTTGTTTAATGTTTGACCACTGAATTCATTAAATATTATCCTATCCTATACCCAGTACAACCCATGAAGGGTCTGGGGTTCAGTACTTTTTAGGAAAAGTACTGTTTCAAGGGAGATCCATAACTAATTGAAATAGAAACTAATAGAATCGAAAATAATGTAAGAGTCATGTTCAAAGGTATAAACAGATCACATAAATGTTTAGGGCCCGTAACGTCTGGAATCAGAGATGAAAATAACAATATTCTGACCGATCCGGTTGACATATTAAGTAAGTTTAAGGACCATTTTGACAATATTTTAAATACGGGAAATTATGATCTGTGTCCTCCTTCTGAGTACCAGAGTGCTGAACCATTAATAGAAGGACCAAGTAAAGAGGAAGTTGAAGTAGCTATCGGAAAATTGAAATCTTATAAAGCAGCGGGAACCGATAATATTCCTACTGAACTAATTAAGGCATGCGGGGAAGCTGGAGTTTCTAAAATACATCGGTTGGTTAAAAAGATCTGGGAGAATGAGAAATTATCTGAAGAATGGAAAGAAACTATTCTTATTCACAAAAACGGCCCGAGGACGGATTGTTATAACTATCGATGAATTTCACTCCTTCCGGCATGTTATAAAATTTTCACTTTAATCTTAACCAGTTGAATCATGGAATACGCCGAGGAAATTATCGGAGACTACTGATGCGGATTTAGACGGAATCATTCGACTATTGATGAAATATTTTTTTTACGGCAAATATTAGAGAAAAAATTAGAGTACAATGGTATTGTTCAGCAGCTGTATATCGATTTCAAAAAGGCTTACGATTCTATTGACTGCCAGAAACTGTATAATATTCTAATCGAGCAGGGGATTCCAAAGAAACTAGTAAATCTAGTCAGGATCTGCTTTATGGAAACACTCAATAAAGTTTGAATCGGTAATAATCTGTCCGCAAAATTTGAGGTTCGTTCGGGTTTAAAACAGGGGGATTCCCTTTCCCCTGTGCTGTTCAATTTGGCATTGGAATAAGCCATTAGGGAGGTAATGCGTACCGAAAAAGGGTTGGATCTGGGTGGGACAACATCCGTGCTGGGCTTCGCTGATGATCTGGTACTCTTAAGCGAAGATGTGGAAACTATAAAACTAAATACGACAACGTTAATGAAAGCCAGTAAAGAATTAGGACTCGAAATAAATGCGGATAAAACAAAATATATGGTTAGCTGCAAAAATGGCAATACTACTGGTGATATTGATATAGACGGTAATGCGTTTGAACATTTAGAGAAATTTAGGTATCAAGGTTCTACGATAACTAGAAAAAATGAAATCGAAGAAGAGATTAAGATTAGACTAAAGGTGGGTGCTTGTTATTTTTCTGTAACAAAATTACTTAGCTTGCGGCTCTCATTCCGGAACTTAAAAATTAGAATCTAAAAAAACATTATCTTACCTACAGTTCTTTATGGATACAAAACTTGGCAGCTTACATTAAGGGATGAGCAGCGTCTTAAGGTTTTTGAAAATTAAGTATTGCGTAGAATATTCGAACCCAAAAAGGATGAGTTAACCGGTGATTTCAGACGGTTACACAACGCCGAATTGCGTGAACTGTATCCAGGTAATACAGTTGAGGTAATCACGGCGAATCAAATGGGCTAGTATAATTGTTGGGCTTAGTAACGAGAGAATTCCTTAAAAGATATTTGCTGTACCGAATGGCAAACGTCTGAGGGGTAGATCGAAGCGGAGGTGGGAATATTGCATTAAAGCCGTTTTGAAGGGACTGGGTTTCGACGGCGAACGGTGGAGTGAGGTGTGTAATAAGCGATTGGTGGTGTTCGCATCGAACCTTCGGGTTCGCTAAGCCTTTTATTATTATTATTATTACTGTTTCAAGGCCTACGATTGTGCAGGGTGAGGATCGGGCCAGGATCACGCTCAACCTCCAGGTTTCTCCCCTTAATCAATTATTTAATTAAGGAAACCCACTTTATAGAGGCTGGGTGTGCCCTAGGAGGGTCTCTCTACCCCAAGGTTGTCCCACGGCTGATGAAACAGAATAAATAATTTTTCTACCATGAGCCGGGATTCGAACCTGGGACCTTGAGCACCGGAAGCTTAGTGTCCTACCACTGAGCTACCCCGCTACCTCATTAAATATTATATGACTTAATAAAATTATTTACGACTGAAAACTATTTTATTAAAAACCAATACTTTTTTCTTTCCACTATCACAACTGAACTCAAATAGGCCATAATATGTTTTGTATTTCATATTTTTCAACAAAAAAAAATTCCAAATATTGTCAGACTAGAACAGTTGTACTCATGTTCTAGAACGGTGTGATTCGAGGAACACTGCTTGCACTCTCCTTTATGGGCAGGGATCGTGGAGGAAGAGGAGGTACAGTGGTAATAACTGGCTCAACTCTGGGACTGAGGCCTTGTGCTTGTGTGCCGATATACACTGCCACCAAACATGCCATCATTGGTTTTACAAGATCCTTTGGGGTAATATATTAAAAGTTTAAATATATTAATTTAAAGTTAATTGTATTATAACATAGTTAAGTTTCAAAAATGAATTCCAGGACCCATTTCATATGAATTTGTCTGGTGTTCGGATCATTGCTCTTTGTCCTCAATCGACATGCACTGAAACCAATGCAGAAGATATGAAGAAAGGAATTCTCTCACCTGCCTATGAACCAGTGTGGAGGAGAGAATATGAAAACAGGCCTTTCCAGCCGTGAGTGATATTTTATTTTATTGATACATTAAATGGATTTAGAATTGATATCCTTAATTTTGTAGTAAAACTTTCTTAATTTGTACTTAATTTTGTAGTAAAACTTAAAAGATAGATCATGGGATCCTCTTTGAAGATGTAAATTTAAAAGACTGTTTAGGACTAACTTGAAACATTGACTCATTCTGCCTCGAGTCTTTAACTAGACTGCAACTAGTTGGAGCCGTCACTACACTGTTCTCATGGTTGGGTATTACTAGACTGACTTATAAAATATAAAACTACACTTCATATAATTCTTTTCTTCTTTGCATTTATCAAATAATCGATAAATTTTCACTTCTAAGACGTGTTCTTTTGATTAAATTTTAATTGTTCTTATGCAGGAAACCGGGCATCTATTTAATTTTTTTTTTTATATGTCTAAAGATTTTCACATTTACACAACACAAATAATCAAAATCGATACAATATATCTCACTTAACTAATCATGAAATTTTAATATTTAAAATTTATAAAATATAATCCAAAAATCAATACAATATTTAACTTATCATTCCTTTTTATTAAAATTTTAATAAAATCACTAATTCTATATTAATAGAATTAAAAGTATATAGAATAGAATAGAAAATTGAACTTTATTCTGGGACTAAGTCCCCTTAGAGTAACAATGATAAATTAATACAAAATAAAATACAACTCTGTCCAAAAACTAACTTATAAAAATTCTAACATTATATATATTATTTAAAAAATAATATGTTACCACTAAAAAATAAATGAAAATAAAATCTTTTCAAACTTACTTATTATTGTGATGAAGAAAACAAACAAACAAAAACAAATTACATATTTATATGTACATAACTACACAATTTATAAACAATAGGCTAACTAATAAAAAAATAACTTAATACAAAATGTAATAATATCTACAGTGATTTATATAATAATATATAAACACTAAGAGAAATAAAAATAAAATCTCAGGATTACTTTTAGTGTAATGGAAAAAAAAGAAATATATATACATACATACTCATATTGATACACAGAGAGACAAAAAGTATAACCTGAATAAATAAAACTATAAAATAACAAAAGTAATAACAGAAAGGCACTGGTGTAGATCTTAAAATATAAAAAGTAGGCTAAATTAATAAACTAGCACTATAAAATAATATGTTAACAGTTAAACAAAAAATCTTCTCAATTATAGTTGAAATGAAAAATTAAAATAAAAATACATAAAAAATATAATTTGTACATGTAAAAATATATACCCAGAAAGAAAAAGCACGACCTGAAGCGAAGAGAAAAACAAATAAATAGTAAAAATAATAGTCAAATTAGGTGGCAAGATCATTGATGTTTTGTGTTAAAACTTAAATAGTAGCCACCACCATTTACTTCTCACAAATTCAATTAAAAATGAAATTTATGGTTGCAAATCGTCTGTTTGGGATGTAAGGAGATATTGGAAAAGGAGGTATTTGAAAGATGACAGGGAAGAGGCATGACGGATGTTATGTGGCAAGGAATTCCAGAAGGCAACGGAGCAGGCTAAGAAGGAACGTTCATAGGTTTTTGTCCTATGGGATGGAATATAGAGGTCAGAAACACGGGATCTCGTTTTTATTGAGTGGACTGAAGGTTTAGGCTGGAGGAGACAGTAGATATAGGAAGGGTGCTAAGAGTTGATGGTTTGGTATAAGAAATTTCCAAGAAAGTATTGGTGGTGGGAAGAGGAGAAGAGCCACTTTAACTCGGCATATAGGTGGGTTACATGAGAACATCTCGAAGTGCCGAAGACAGATCTTAAAAAACAAATCTATGTATGCATTTTATAGGGTGTATTAGAAAACAAAGGTCTGTATGGTCATAAAAAAAAATAAACGAAATAAGCTCATGAGAAAAGGTTATTATTGACAGTAATATATTACTGCATATCTACTTTATTGTTTCACATAATCATTGTTCTCATCTATACACTTACTGTAACACTGCACCAGCTTCTTTAACTCCTTTGCATAGAAATTTGCTGCCTTGAATTGAATCAGTTTGTAACATCAGTCTTAAGCTTATCATCATAATTGTTAATGACTGATCATTTCGAAGTTTTTGGTTAACTTCATCAATGATGTCATCAATCCGAATACTGGGTCCATCATAGTGCTCATCATGTACATTTGTGTGGCCATTTTGGAATTGTCAATTCCAGTTTAGAAATTGTTTGCCACTCATTATTTTAGGTTCATACAACAGGTATAACTCACAATGGATTTAAGCAGCTGGAAATCCTTTTGCCTATAAAAATCTAACCATGCCTTGAACTACACAACTGGTGGGACCTATGATTGTCTTGGCCATTGTAATATTCTCTTGACAACTACTGAATCATATCAACATTGCATTAGTTTCCTAAGGAGTCGGTAGACAGAGCTGTCTGTATGTGTGAAAATTTCTTCAGAAATACCATCAGTCATATATTTTGGAATTAAAAACCTGTACCACTACAACCCATGAAGGGTCTGGGGTTCAGTACTATTTAGGGAAAGCACTGTTTCTAGGTCAACGGTTGTGCAAGGAGGTGATTTGACCGAGATCACACTCAACCGCCAGGTTTTCCCCCTTAATTAATTATTTAATTAAAGGGTACCCACTTTATAGAGGCTGGGTGTGCCCCAGGAGGGTCTCCCGACCCAAGGTCGCCCCACGGCCAATGAAACAGATAAATAAATTTTCTGCCATGAACCGGGGTTCGAACCTGAGACCTTTGCATTGGAAGCACAGTGCCCTACCACTGAGCTACCCCACTCCCATATATTTTGGAATACACTTCTTTTATAAATTAAATTTGAATAGTTAAATTAAAATGATGTATTTTCTAGTTTCTAGGGTTTGAAAATAAACTAACAAAAATTAAACATATAAATATTTCTTTAAATTAAAAAAAAATATATACCACAACAGAAAAATTTATTAAAAAAACTAAGTGATGTAACAAAGTGATATAACCATGATAAAACCATTTCTGATAGATGGCTGTGAAGCCTGGGCACTTGCCATTGCATTGGAAAGAAGTATAGAAAGATTTGAGTGGAAAATACTTAGCATTATAACCGAAGTGATCTGGGATCAGACTACTAACGAAAAATGGCCAATAAGGAACTGCTTATAGAAACTGGTCAGTCAATATCTCATAATCTGAAAGCAAGGCGGTCAAGATGTGCAGGTCATGTAGCTCAGAGCACTCCATCAGGAAGCCTCTACACAACAACGAATGCCTCAATGAAAGACTGGATAGATACTGCAGCTTCATACGAAAACTGGAAAGCAATAGCCTAAGAAAAGCAGAGATGAAGAAGAATGATTAAGGTGGGAAAAGATCTATAAAGCCCATAGAGGAAAAAATAAAAAACAATATAAAACACTATATAAAATAATGCTGTATGATTTTGTGACTTTTTCTCTTTTGTTGATTTCTCCTCTATTAATTTTATGAATTTATATTCTAAAGATATGTTTATTTATTAAAGTAAAAACTGTAAAATTGTATTTTTAAGGTAATTGTTTATAATAAACAATAATAGTTAACTTTTTCAACTATTATAAACTTTTTTTTATAGGGTTCAAAATGTTGGAAGGGCATTGATACATGTTCTCGTGAAAGGGACCAGTGGATCAATATGGACTGTAGATAATCAGAATCCACCAAGAGAAGTCAAATTTACTTCTTCTCCGTAAGCTTTTTCCAATAAAATCCCTATTTTCAATACACTTCATCATTTAGTTACGCTAAATGTCATAATTTGTTTTGTAATTTTTTAATTTTATACTTATTGTACAATTAGACAAGTAAGTTTATACCAAATATGTATAAGTAAAGCATTTTTATAATAATAATAATAATAATAAAATTTCTTCTTATGAAGATTATAAATTATGTCTAATGAAAAATTTCAACGAAAGCTTGAGTAGTTAATTAAATTACTAAAACTCAAGAAAATGAAACCATTTGTATGTATATATGTTTATTCTCGATAACTCAAAGTATAAAGGAGTTAAAATTCTTCTTCCAAAATCATGAATGACTGAAAATCGTGAAAATATATTCTACGGACAACATTTGAAAGGTGTATAAGCCAACATTCAGTAGTAATTAGTGTAACAAAATCCAGAACTTTAAGATAACTTTAAATTCTTTGAATAAAAATAATGGAGAAACAGTAAGAGGTATTTTGAAGTAACAATTATAAAATTATTGGCATAATGAAAAATCGGTGGGGGACTCAACATTAATTTTTTTTTATCCTGATTAACTATACCACATTATATCACTCAGATCAAAACAAGAAGAAGCTGTTTTATCATTCTAAGAAATTAGAGTAATCGAGAGTTAACTATCAAAACAAGAAGAAGCTGTTTTATCATTCTAAGAAATTAGAGTAATCGAGAGTTAACTATCAAAACAAGAAGAAGCTGTTTTATCATTCTAAGAAATTAGAGTAATCGAGAGTTAACTATAGAACTATTCAACAATTAAATTAAATTTTGTTTCTAACATTTTCATAGCTTTAAGATTTATTAATAACATTGAAAACAATTAAAATTAAAAATGAAAATTTTTAAGCCGTTCCCTTGATCTTCAAAAAGTTATTGTGGGGAATTTAAATAAAATTTAAAAAATATATATAGAAATATTTTAAAATTATATTTAATTTTTACCCATATTTGTTAAATTTTTAAAAAGAATTTTACAGTTATGAAAAATTCAATTGTTAGCATTTTAGTTTTTCCCACGACTTTTTTGTATAATGGGAATACCATGCTCAGAGCCTTTCACTATTATTTATGAAAAAATGTTTATTATAAATATGGCTTCTATTTATGTATGTTTCAGATGATATATTAATCATTATAAATGTTCATCCACTATAGGATATAGCAGAGAGCCAATTATAGTAAATGTTAAAATAATCTTTAATAAAAGTTTTACTATAATAATAAGTTTAGAATTCATTAAGCATTCATTATGCATTTAAATTATCATGCAGTCATTTTAATTGTTATTAAATTTATGTAACTCAGTCGCATTAAGCATAGGAAAAAATTCTTGTTCAAAATAAATTAAATTTAATAAAGGACTAGCAAAAAGTTCATTTTAAAATCTCCAAAAGAGTATTAGAACTAAATCTTTCTGTGGATGTATTGTCATTAAATAGAGTGGAGTCTTGATTATCTAAGGACTTTTGTACGAATTTTTTGTTTCTCTTAAGAAATTACAAGAAAAGCAAAGTACAGCCAAAAATCTGGAAGCTGGAGATGATTGTTGATATCCCTCGCCATCCTCATAGTGAGGGAATGCATTCTCTTTTTATCTCTACAGCATTTGTACTCCACTCCGAAACGGTTTTTTCAAAAGTTTTTTTGAGACTGTTTCAAATTTAATATTGCGAATCAAAACCTGAGAATATGAAACAAATTAGTAAGGCATTGTTCATTTAGTTTTGTGAACTAGAAGAACAAAAGGAATACATATTCATAATTTTTTTTTTATACCGCTCAAAGATCCACATGTTGAATCTTGGCCTGTTCTAGCATTGACTGCCAGTTGTCTCTGTTTTGTAGTGCTGACTTCCAGTTACGAATGCCAAGTATTGATAATGCATCGGTAGAAAAACAGTCTTTCCTAGTGTACAGCTAGCCTTGGGTGTCCAACCTTCTGTGCTTCAAATAGTTACTCCAATAGGACTTTAGATAGGATTTTCTCTGGATTCAACCTAGCGACTTGGCCTGTCCATCGAAATCGAGAGAATTTAACCACATTGACCATCTCTAAGTTATATAAATTCTACTCATTTATTCAAATCTGGATAGTTCCAGTTCCTGAGTCCTTGTATGTGTCCACGTTTCGGAGCCGTATGTTAAAACAGGTTGAATAAAAGTATTATATATTCTGACCTTCGTGGATTTTGGCAAGTTGTTAGACCAGAGTTGCTTTTAAAGTGTAAAGGAACACTGATTAGAAGCCAGAATACGACTATCTCTTCCCCAATGTCATTTGGGGAATTCATTTGGAAACCTAAGTAATCAAATCCTCGTACCACTATCTTGTGTGAACTCAACTGAGCTAAGCCTTCCCAGATATAATGCTTTGGGTTTATACAAATGCACTTTGTAGAGCTTCAAAAGCCTCCTCGACTGCATACAGTGTGGTTCCAACAAGGTCCGATGCCAGGCGGATTCATATTACATTACATTCATATTCGGGACCCATATTAAAAGAAGAAACATAATAATTTTGTACCAAGAGGAAACCCATTAACTGTATGTTAGGGGTGAAAAACTTTCTGCTGACTCTAAAAGCACTTGTGCTTATTTTGAATAATCATTCAAAATTATTGAAATTTTGAACTATTATTCGAAATGAAAAATATACATGATGAACAACTCTATAATTTTGAAACAATCAGATTAAAGTTTAGAATAGTTCTTGATAAAACCTTCACATATAATGAAGAATATACCATAAAAAATAGGAGGAGAAGTTCAATGTTTTATCTTCTACAAATGGATCTGTAGAACAAAAACTTCGTCTTCTCATTATTAGAAATATCTAAACAGCCTAGAACTTTCCTCAAATTAAATCTTCAGGATCTATCTACTGTCTATTGGAACACACAAATTTGTTTAAAGAGTGGTCTTTTGATGAATTTATTCCTGATACAAAGAGTTTTTCAAAAAAGTAAGGACTGCTGCATAAGTGTTGTTTTTAATTGACAATTTTAATCCAAAATCACCTGTCTTGGAGAGCTTCATTGGCTGGAAAAATCATTGGAATTTATGAAACAGTAAGATGAAATCATGTCTGTACATGTTGTTTTTTTGTTTGTTTAGAAATGGAGTATGCATGCAACTACCATAAGAGGGACTTTGCAAAAGCAGTATGAAAATACAAGATTATGCTTACAAAAAGTTTGAAATTCATCTTTTTATATAGATACCAAATGCATGCTAATATGACTTGATTCCAAGATTTATTTAATTTTCTAACATTTCACTGAGAAGGAATCCCATTCTGTTGTAACTCAGATTATCGAGGCTCCACTGTAATAATATTATTTATTTTTCTTAATTATAAATTGGCTTTGATTCCTAGAATCTCGTTTTAAATTTTATTTATTTTTAGTTATAACAAGTATATTTTCTCTGTATTCTTAGAGAAAAATTAAACTTATATAAAAATTATTTTTATATATTATTTGTGTATTTTCTAGTTGAATTAGCCATGTTAATGAATGCATAAGTCCTCATGGTGCTGATACATATTATCTATTTGACAAATTTCAACGTTTTATCTCTTTATTATATTTTGTCAGAGCTTTATCAACAATTATGTTTATCATGTTTTATTGGTGCTTGCATAATATGAAAATTTGTTTTTAATAAACAAATTTTTTATACAACATTATTTATCTGCTCAATTTGTAAGATAAACAATTATATACATCAAAGAGTATTTAAATACCCAATATGTTTTCTTACATACAGGTAACTTTACAATATATTTCATTAAAATAAGACGAAATGAATAATTAAAAAATTATCATTTCCTAAGAAAGTTATTTAGAATGTGTGGTTAAGGTAAGGAAGAAAAATCCTGTATCCTCATTATCAACACTTCCTAAATATCAGAATAAAATATAATACAATAATATAATATTGTATGTATGTAAACTTGCCAAATACCCATTCTGAATGGAGATCTTGGTTTTGCTATATCTTTGAAGAATTAATAACGTAGGTCATGTTGACCTTGAGTAAAAAAAAATAAAACTCACTATAAAAAAAAGATTATTTATCAATATGTGCAGAATTAATTCTTTCTAAAACTAAGGGAAAGTAATGTGATCAAGTTTTGTGTGGGGAATGATTAACTGATAAATACTAAAATTAAATTTTATTTTCATATGAATAAAAATGTTTTATAAAATTATAATTTATATTTAAATCTACAAATATGTAAAATAAAAAATCTTTAATTCTAATCAGCGTTTCTACAATTATCATTACCTAGGTAACTAAATGCTATATGATTTATTATAAATTCTGTTTTCTGATGATAATGGCTAACAAATATGTCATATTTTATGTTAACCAGCAATATCTCATAATGACATTTCCTATCTGTTAAGGCTAAGGTTTTTGAAGATTTTGCTTATAAAGAAAAATTATATTAATTCATCTATCATATCGAAATTGAAATGCAAGCATGTAAATATGTATATATACATGAGTGTCCATGTTTACTCATATTTATATTATTTGTAATATTGTATAATTAATTATTTTAAACATGCTTTCAAGGTGTTATATTTCATAGATGAGTAAAATGTTTGTAAAGACGTCTACGAATTTTTAATGAAAATCTTTTCATCTTTGTTAGTATTATGTATAAACGACTGTATGCCTTATGAATATTTTATTAAGAAAAAGAGATTTTTCATCCTTTTTTTTTCTTATTGGAAATTTTAGGAGTTACCTTAATATTAGTTAAACTCTGGTGTCACTTAATTAATAACACTTGATCTGTCCTGTTGTATGGGCTTACTTATTTTGGTGTGTAAAGTAGTAAGTTCCATATAAATTAGTTATAAATTAGTCATTGGATTTCAATATAATACAATAAATGAAGTATATCATATCATTAATATGGTAATTAATAAGCTTATTACTTGTTACCAACTTTAAGAAATTTATAAAAATTAATTAATGATAATTTTATCTTCAATGGAAGAAGTCATGTTATTAAAATAACTGGCTTATATATCATATGCTAATGACATTAAAAAATTTAAACCTATGTAGTCCAGTGATGACCTTCAATACGATATAAAAGATGGCTGCAATGAAAAAATATTAAAAGTGACTGATAAGTGGTTCTATAAGAAAGGACTTCCACTTTAAAAATATTAACATTATTCTTTTTATAGGCAAAATGAAAGTCTGATGTGGAATTGATTGTCTCAATTGTAATTATGTTATAAGAAATTGAAATATTGTCAATTTTTTTCACAATTTTTATGGATGTTGTATTATGTAAAATAGAAAACATATTCTATTAATTGATTCTCTGCTTGGTTTCATTATTAACAATTTTACTGCTGGTTAAATTAACAATATTGCTAATAATCAAGGTTTCCAAAGCCTTTTTTTTTCTTTTTTTAATTTGAACTATTTTTAGTTCGTTTTCTATTCAATATGGATGATGAAATGAATTTGTAATGATTTTAAACTACATAGGTATTAAAAATATTAGTTGACAATCTACATATATTTTATTTAGGGTCAATAGACCAAAAACGGCTGACATATGGCTATTAAAGCTTGATATTGTTATCCATTGTTTATTAATTACAAAATAAATGCCCAGCTTTATGTGATGATCGTTGTGATTTTAGTGGATAATTTATTATTACTATTATGTTGCTTTTGCGTCTTAAAATATAATATTATGAAGAGTTTTTGTTGAATTGTTACCTTTATACTTCATACATTGCTTAACTTTGATTACCTATTGCAAGCAACTGGCTTGTCTTATGTGGCCCATAACTTTAAAAAATTGCTTTTTTTTATATTAAATTAAATTTTTTAGCACATAAATCTTCCATTACTTGTCCTCATTTTCCTACGTCAAAAGGATTTTATGTTCTCATCTTTAAGGATATGTTTTTCTAGATAACACATTATTAATAAATTAATATTTGCAAACTTCTATTACCTAACAAAATATTACATATCATTTATTCTGATTTAATTTGAACTTTTTTTTTTTTTTATTTATCTTACAATTATCATTTATATATATTTTCTCCTTTTTAGATAATATCTGTATTGCTTTTATTTTGTCTGTATTTTAAGACTTTTTACTTGGAGAGGAACTTATAATTGATTTATTAAGAGTGATATAGCTTTGTCTTATTATATGAAGGTAATGTTGATGCAAAGACGAAGCAAATACAGATTATCAAATTTTTGGTGAGGATCATATATCAAATAAAACACCAGGTAATTTTACAATTAGGGTTTGAATAAATGACCATATCCATTTAATTTTATTTTCAACTCAAACTTAGTATCTATTTATCTACAGGAGTATCAAAAACAAAAACAAGGTAAGCCTGGGTATACCAGGTTTTATTTCATTTTACATTAGAACGACAGATAACAGATTTTCCAGTAGCCGAAATTATTGCCTTTCCTGCATTAGTTACTTCATAAGAGAGAACTGATGTTACTTTTGTGCTTGGTTCTTCCACCAATCAAAACAGTACTATTAATCGTAGGTAAAACTGTTTTAAAAATAATTGAGAAATTTGGACTCTCCTGGATCATGCATCAAGAGCCTTGTCCAATGTCATGTATGGATCCATAGGTAATAAATTTAATACGTATGAATCTAGATTAATATTGTAGTCTAAATATTTGAGTTACCATTTTACATATCTTCAAAGAAAGAAAAAAAACTGAAAAGAACTTAACTTTAAAAAAAGTTTTTTTTTTTATTTAATTGTATTGAGTTATAAAATTGTATTGAGAATATATTTTTTTAAATGTTTATTTCTCACCTCTTTCTGATTTTTATTTTACATTATCTGGTTCTTTCCTCCCCCTCTCTACCCTCAGTCTCTCTCTCTCTCTCTCTCTTTATATATTTAAGTATATTTTTCCAAGAAAAAAATTTTTTATCTGTCTGAAATTTTCAGAATTAAACTGTATTACATTTATTTTGTTAATATTTGCACTGGTATCCAGTAAACTAGGGTGGCAACAGAATTCCAAAAGGAAATAGCTCAATCACTATAAAAAATGTGTTTAGTGTTTCATCGATTTTTCTCCCTGGATTACAAAGATCCAATCAAAACAATAAATTACGCTATACTGTATCTTCGATAATAATGGACCGATTTCGGTACCTTTTTTTTTTTTACATTTTTAAAAAGTTTGGATACCTTTAAACAATCATAAATTTTTGGAGCACTGCCTATTTTTCTCTCCTGTGGAAGAATATAATCTTGAAAATGATGCCTCATTGCTTGATTCAATGAAGAATTGACAAAAATATGGCATTTTAACAAAAATCACCTTCGAGAAATAATATATGAAGCTATTTTTTAGGATTGTGATTATCTATGTATCTGCTTATTACAGTAAAATTAAGGAATTCAGTTATTAGTTATATTTTAAAAGAAACATGAAATTTGAAATTGGGTAAAGAATAAGTAATATTAGAGATTTCTCCTAATTAATTGGCATAGCTATTTCAGGGAAATACTCTTCCCAATATTTAGTGAATTAAAATTACTAGCATAAAAGTATTGTCTGGATATTTTAGATTTATCCCAATGCAAGATTCCATTTCATTAAATAAGGAGTTCCTTAAATAATTTATGATAAAAGTAAAATAATAATAATTTAAAGATATTCAACATTATTTAACACAGTAATTCAACATTTTGAAAGAAACTAATTACAAAGAAATACACTTACTACATATAAATATATATAGTTTAATAAATATGAATTAAAAAATTTATTTACCCCCTCCTGTTTTGAGCTGGTTATTCCATTAATGTTGTATATTTTTGTATGCTTCATTTATTTTTAAGAAAAAAGCTTTAAACTTTAATTCGTTTAAATATCCATATTTCTCATTTAATTGTAATTGGTTTATTAATTTCAAAAATATTATTAGCAGTAGTATAACTAGAATTTGCTTCAAAATTAAGCAGGCAGTGAGTTACTCAGTACGTTGGAACTGGGGCTGTTCTTGGCCATATTGGTTTGGAGCGTCTTCAAGGTATCATCTATTTCGATTTTTATCGTGGCTATCCTTCTGCTGGCTATTTGCTGCTCTTTATTTTCTGAATTCTGAATACAATTTTTTTATTAATTAGGTAGTTATACTGCGCGTTAATGGAAATAGGTTGTTTTACTTCATTTATTAATTGGCGGTCTCCATTTTGGATGACGCCGCTGTCCACTACTTAAGCCGCGTGTTTACAGTTCTAATTTATATTTTGTCGGATTAGTCAGATTTTAATATGTTTCTGTACAATTTAACCCTGCAACGTGCTACGGGTATTACCCACGCTGTACACGGAAGTTTTAGTGGGAAGAAGCAGCAAGAAATATTAGTTTCAAGGGGAAAATGTCTGGAACTCCTCCGGCCGGACCCCAATACCGGGAAAGTACATTCGTTATTAACTGTGGAAATATTTGGCGTTATACGATCCTTAATGGCCTTTAGGTTAACTGGAGGTAACAAAGGTATGTGTTATATTTTTCTTTTTAATTGATAATTTTTTTTATTTTTATAGAATAATTTCATTTATTTCAACATGTAATTTGCGCTTTTTTAGATTATGCTGTTGTTGGGTCTGACTCAGGCAGAATTGTAATTCTTGAATACAATCCACAAAAAAACATTTTGGAAAAGGTTCATCAAGAGACCTTTGGGAAAAGTGGGTGCAGGAGGATTGTTCCTGGACAATATCTTGCAGTTGATCCTAAGGCCAGAGCCATTATGGTTGGTTAGTATATTTAATTCACTATTGGTAGTCATTTAAATTAGAAACTAATTTATGCTTACATGATTTTTTTTCTTCAAATTTTTGTTAATTGTTTTCTGATTTAAGAACTTATAAGTCTAGAGAACTTATAGTTTTTATGAACTATAAGTTCTCTAGACTTGTTAAGTTATTCTTTATCTGCCATTGTACATTATTTAATCAATTTTCAGCTTCTTTTATGATTTATTATTATATTGATGTTTTTTAGGAGCTATTGAGAAACAGAAGGTTGTTTACATTTTGAATAGAGATGCAGAAGCTAGATTGACTATTTCATCCCCATTAGAAGCTCATAAGAGTAACACTTTAGTGTACCACATGGTCGGTCTGGATGTTGGTTTTGAGAATTCCATATTTGCCTGCCTTGAAATAGATTATGAGGTAAGATATTAATCAGTAATACTAGTTTAGTATTGTGATATAAATTATAATTAATTAATCGTAAAATTGTTAATCGAAGAAGCTTGGTTCGATCCCCTTTTTTTTTCTTCCTCACTACTGAAGATAGGGAAGCATTGTGTGTGGGAGGTCAAAAAAAGTTTTTGCTCAGAATTAAATATTTTCGCATGTGTTTTACATTCCAGACATCAAGGATCAAATTTTTAGTTTGATGTCTGTCGTCAAATCATCTAGTACCATTCATCCGATTTCCAGAGATTATGCGGATTGGTGCCTATAAGGTCCCATATCAATTTTATCTAATTCCATACAGCATTTCTGCTTATGTACGTGCAAACATTTTTTTAGATATACCAATATTTCAGAAAGGCTTGTTCGAACTTGAGTGAGCTCTTAGTAAAACTCCTAGCTAAACACCCCTCCCTGAGGAGACCGCCACCCCAGACCATCTCCTTCCTTATTAATGCAATGGTCAACAATTAAATATTCTATAAAAACTTTTTATCTGTTACTAAAAAGTTTAGTTTAGTGTTTACTTTAATTATAGTTCCACCTTTCAGAACGAGACATCATTGACAATAGCCTACCTAACAAGTTTTTTTTGTTCATAAATCATGTTCTTAATTAACATTGAGGAAAGAAATGAGGGGCACGATCAAGCCAACACATAGCTCTTATATGGCTTTTGTTGTTTGGATGATTGTGCCATATTAATTGCAAATGATAAACTCTTTACTTTTTATTAGATAAGTCTAGAACAGAGCTTTTGCAAACATTGATTTAGGAATTAAGTAAGTTTCATTTTTCTATAAGAATCTTTGAGGTTGTGAATAATTAACTTGACTACTCTATTATTGTGTTATTTGTTATGGCTGCTATTCCTTGCTTTTGTTTCAAAAATTGGTGTTTAGGTTGATAAGAATAATTCACTCTCATACGACCTTATATGTTTAATCATACTCACTTCATTTTAGTTCTTAAAGGTTAAATCCTTGTATGGCTATGGTACTATAGTACTAATAGCTTTTTAGACCTTTGTCCAAGATATCTCGGTTTGGAAGGTAAAACTAATTATTACTTTGTAATGGATATAAGTCTTTATGATTTAAGTTTAAACAACATAAGCTCAACTGTTTTCAGAAATTAAAGGAACAAATTTGACTTTAATAATGAATATGTTCTGAAAGAAAATGCATAAATATCTTAGGCAGCAGTTAACGGTAGAAATTTCTTTTTAGGATTCAAATTTTAAGTTTCAATTTTAATTATTTATTACTCATTTTACTATTATATAAAAAAATTAATTTTTTATATAAAGTATATTTTAAATTATTTTACATAACAGTTTAAATATACACAAGTTGTACAAAATTGTTGCTACTCCCTCCCCTCCATTTAAAGCTTTGCGTTATGGAATCCAATCAGATTATCAATCATTACTTTGGGTATCATTCTGACTGTCTGTTTAGTGTTTTCGTAAGATCAATCAACTTTATAGATTGTACTGATGGATTCCCAGAAATCTTAAGCTTCTATTATGAAAAGCTGTTGGAAAACTTGAGGCATAAGTGGAAAAGAGACTTAATTTTGATAGTCATGTACAATATATCCCAACAAATGTATACTATAAATTTTCTTATTAATTAACAGTTTCATTTTTCCATGTTAATAATTCCATCTATATAAATAAAAAAACATTATTCTGATGGTAATATTTAAATGGAAATTAATAACTATAGAAGGTCACATTTTAATTATTACATAAAAGTAGGATAATTTTTAACAATTAACTGTTGTGCCTAATATTTGTGGTTCTTTTCAAACGTTGATCATTTAATATTTGCATAACTTATTTTAAAGATTTATGTCTGATATTAAAGTAATCATTATTTCCTACTTAAATTGTGTTGTTAATTACATATTTTGAGTAACAGATAATCTACTTTAGAATTGTATATTATCATTTTAAGTTATAATTAACTTTTCTTTCAGGAGTCTGATAATGATGCAACTTGGGAATCAGCAAGTGAAACCAAACAGTCCCTTACATTCTATGAACAGGATTATGGTGTTAACCATGTTGTAAGGAAATATTCTGAACCGTTAGAAGAACATGCAAATTTCCTCATTTCGGTGCCTGGTGGTGACGATGGGCCTTCTGGTGTATTGATTTGCTCAGAAAACTACCTCACCTACAAAAACCTTGGCGAACAGCACGATATCCGTTGTCCCATTCCTAGGAGAAGGGTAAGAACAATGATTTACAATAAATTATATGATCGGTTAATATTATTTTTTAAAACTTTCTTGCAAATGTTAGTATTACAAAAAAGAGTTAACTAGTGTGTAAAATTGTTATGGAAATATTTTGTTACTTTTTTTTTTCTAAAAATTGAGGAAATAAATAGGGGGCACGATCAAGCCAACGCATAGCTCTCATATGGCTTTTGTTGTTTGGATGATTGTGCCATATTAATTGCAAATGATAAGCTCTTTACTTCTTATTGATTGAGTATTGAGCAGAGCTTTTGCAAACATTAATCAAGGAATAGAATATTTTTAATTATTCTATTTGTATTATTAAGATTGTATCTCATTAAATACTGAAGTAATATTGTGTTGTTTCTTATAGCTGTTGTTGATTAAAAATTATGAATTCAAGCATAATATTTTTAAAATCACTCAGTTGGAACATGTATGAGCAAGAGTGCACTATCCATTAGTAGTTGTTTCTAACTAATAAATGGTCATTTGGATAAAGGTGATCAATAACGTTTTTTGATTTCTAAGAAAACTTAATTTTAATCACCTTTAAGGCTGATGTATGTAATCAATGAGAACCTCTATTAACTCTGTTATGAACCAAATTAATTTAGTGAATTAGCAGGAAATATTAAAAATATACAGTTTATTCCATTTATCCATACAAACTGTTCTTTCTTTTCTCACATCACTTTTCATCTCTTTCCAATTGATCTTTTGTCAATATTTCATTTAATAATAATATAAGATTTAACAAGGATCAACATATTAACACTGAATTTCATTTCACTAAAATTGAATTTTAACTATAATGCCTATTTTTACAGAATGACTTGGATGATCCTGAGCGGGGAATGATCTTTGTATGTTCAGCTACTCACAAAACAAAATCGATGTTTTTCTTCCTTGTCCAAACTGAACAAGGTGACATTTTCAAAGTCACCCTTGAAACAGACGAAGAAGTTGTAACAGAAATAAAATTAAAATATTTCGATACTGTTCCCGTAGCTGCTGCAATGTGTGTTTTAAAAACTGGTTTTCTTTTTGTTGCATCTGAATTTGGCAACCAGTAAGTTTTATTCAATTTATTTCTTTATTGTATTATTATTATTGAGATCGTTATTATATTATTTTTAAGATTGTAATTAGTTTATCTTTCCTCGTTATAGATATAAATTAATTTTCCAGCTACCTTTATCAGATCGCTCACTTGGGTGATGATGATGACGAGCCTGAATTTAGTTCAGCCATGCCCTTAGAAGAAGGAGATACTTTCTTCTTTGCTCCCAGACCTCTTAGGAATCTAGTCCTGGTCGATGAAATGGATTCACTATCCCCAATATTAGACTGCCACGTTGCTGATTTAGGTAATGCAAATATTTCAATGAGCAAAATATTGTTATTAATTTATATATTGTGTTTCTAACATTCAATTTTCTTTTGTATCAGCTAATGAGGATACTCCTCAGTTATATATGGCCTGTGGTAGAGGTCCACGCTCCACCCTGAGGGTATTGAGGCACGGTTTAGAAGTGTCTGAAATGGCTGTGTCGGAACTGCCAGGTTCTCCCAATGCTGTCTGGACTGTGAAGAAACGTGCCACTGGTGAGTGCTAACGACAGACATAATTATAGTGTGCGTTTAATTGTTCAGTATTCTTTTAAATGTCTGTATTTATTAATCAATCAGCACTTTTTACTGTCCTTTAAGTTTATAACTAAGTAGTCAAAATATAATCTCTTTAAAATAATGTTGGTTTTTTGACAAACTTTTGATTTGTATCTAAGAAGATATTCTTCATCTGTTTTATAATTAAAGCAAAGTTTATTGGGTTTTATTTCAAGTGAGATCTTTTTCAATTTATTCGTTATTTGAACAAACAACCATTAAAAGCATACTGTAACATTTTTAAAATATATAGAATTTTTAAGTTCCTATATGTTTAAGTTAAAGAATATTTGCTCTATAATTGGTAATTGGTTGACTGTCGTGGATAATGAAGAGAAGAATAGTTGGGGTGCTCAGTCAAAAAAGGAAGGCAAAAATAAATTATAATATTTATTTTTTACATCTGCCGACGTTTCGACCTGAAGTTCAGGCCATCATCAGGGCTAAGAAAATAACCAGATAACAAGGTATGAGAAACTTAAGTAATGATGGTAAAAAAGATAATAACAAAAAAAAAAAAATGAGAAAATAAAATAGATTAGATCTAGATAAAAGAAAAATAAAATAGATAGATATAAAGTAAAATAAAATTGTTAGAATAATGACTAAGAACTAAGAGATAAATAATACAGACTGTTACATAGCGTGGAATGATGAAGTAGGCATAATCAAAAAGGGGGTGACAAAAGTGTTACATTGGGAATCTTAGAATAAAATGTAAAAACATAAAAAAGAAATATAAAGTTATATAAGAAATGAGAATAAAATAAATAGTAAAAAGAAAACATTGAGAATGGAGTAGTTTGATAAAAAATTGAGATATTGTAAAGTCTATCAAGATGTACAGACAATGTATAATATAATAGAGAGTTAACAACAGAGAAAAGGAATGAAAGGAAGGAGGGAAGAAATTGAGAAAGCTGAAATAAGAAAGAAATAAAAGAAGTAGTACCTTTCTCCTAAAATGTCAAAGTGAGAATGAAGTCGTTACAAAGAAGGTGGAGAGAGAAGGGATGTGGAGGTGGCGTCATCTGTAACGGTTATCGGACGAAGCTAGAACTAGAAGAATGCTAGTAGAAGCCTAAATAGTTACGAGAGATATATTATGTAGAAAAATTATGGAATATTGAACGAAAGTTAATAGAAAGTGAAAGTGAATATATATATATATATATGTATATATATGTATATATATATATATATATATAAGGGAGTTGACAGCAAAAAGGAAAGGAATATAACTATGGATGTTTTAATAAATTCAGAATTTGGCTATAGGTTAGAGAAAAGTTGTTTTTGTCAGCTTTAAGATTCACTGTCTTTGGTTGAAGCTGGATGTGGAGGGTTTCAGAAATGAGTCGTTTGTCATGGTTGAGAACAGTGGCAAGGATGGATGTTTTGTCGAAGTCAAATGAATGATTGAGGGAGAGAGAATGTTCGGATAATTTGGAAGCGGTGAAATTACGAGAGGATACAGAATATTTATGTTGGGTTATGCGGTCTTTTAGGAGATTTTTGGTTTCACCAATATAGGATGAAAAACAATTGGGGGTAGAACATGGAATACGGTAAACGATATGAGAGCGGTGTGAGAGAGGAAGAGGATCTTTTAGGGATGTGTATAATTTCGAGAGAGTGTTGTGAGATTTGAATGCAAGTCGTAAGTTAGGGTTAGTGGATCGTAAAACTTTGTTGATGTTGTCTGAAAGGTTAGGAATATAAGGTAGAGATCTGTATATAGGGGCTGAAATGGGTTGTGGAGAATTAGAGAAAGTTGAGATTAAGGAAGAGCGATTATTGTGGTCCGTTATAAGTTTGTTAATGACATGGAGAGGAAAATTATTGTTTGACAGGATCTGTTTTATGCGTTTGGTATTGGTAACATGAAATTGGGGATCAGAGAGGGAGAGACTACGGTGAATGAGGTTTTTCGCAACGTTAATTTTTTGGTGGTAGGGATGTTTGGAATGGAAATTTAGGAGTCTGCCAGTGTAAGTTGGTTTGGTGTACCAGTCTGTGGATATGGTGTTATTGGGATTTTTAATGATTAGAAGGTCGAGAAAAGGGAGAGAATTATTGAGTTCGCGTTGTACTGTAAAATTGAGGCGGGGGTGGTAAGAGTTAAAATGTGATAGAATATCAGGAATTTTGTTTGGATTGATGATTAGGAGGAGGTCGTCTACGTATTTCCGAATAAAGATGATGTCGTCAGGGTAAAGAGGGATAATGGTGTCTAGAAGATCATTGAGAACGATGTTCGAGATGTCGGGAGCGAGGGGGTTACCCATTGCTAGTCCAACCCAGTAACCCCCTCGCTCCCGACATCTCGAACATCGTTCTCAATGATCTTCTAGACACCATTATCCCTCTTTACCCTGACGACATCATCTTTATTCGGAAATACGTAGACGACCTCCTCCTAATCATCAATCCAAACAAAATTCCTGATATTCTATCACATTTTAACTCTTACCACCCCCGCCTCAATTTTACAGTACAACGCGAACTCAATAATTCTCTCCCTTTTCTCGACCTTCTAATCATTAAAAATCCCAATAACACCATATCCACAGACTGGTACACCAAACCAACTTACACTGGCAGACTCCTAAATTTCCATTCCAAACATCCCTACCACCAAAAAATTAACGTTGCGAAAAACCTCATTCACCGTAGTCTCTCCCTCTCTGATCCCCAATTTCATGTTACCAATACCAAACGCATAAAACAGATCCTGTCAAACAATAATTTTCCTCTCCATGTCATTAACAAACTTATAACGGACCACAATAATCGCTCTTCCTTAATCTCAACTTTCTCTAATTCTCCACAACCCATTTCAGCCCCTATATACAGATCTCTACCTTATATTCCTAACCTTTCAGACAACATCAACAAAGTTTTACGATCCACTAACCCTAACTTACGACTTGCATTCAAATCTCACAACACTCTCTCGAAATTATACACATCCCTAAAAGATCCTCTTCCTCTCTCACACCGCTCTCATATCGTTTACCGTATTCCATGTTCTACCCCCAATTGTTTTTCATCCTATATTGGTGAAACCAAAAATCTCCTAAAAGACCGCATAACCCAACATAAATATTCTGTATCCTCTCGTAATTTCACCGCTTCCAAATTATCCGAACATTCTCTCTCCCTCAATCATTCATTTGACTTCGACAAAACATCCATCCTTGCCACTGTTCTCAACCATGACAAACGACTCATTTCTGAAACCCTCCACATCCAGCTTCAACCAAAGACAGTGAATCTTAAAGCTGACAAAAACAACTTTTCTCTAACCTATAGCCAAATTCTGAATTTATTAAAACATCCATAGTTATATTCCTTTCCTTTTTGCTGTCAACTCCCTTATATATATATATATATATATACATATATATACATATATATATATATATATTCACTTTCACTTTCTATTAACTTTCGTTCAATATTCCATAATTTTTCTACATAATATATCTCTCGTAACTATTTAGGCTTCTACTAGCATTCTTCTAGTTCTAGCTTCGTCCGATAACCGTTACAGATGACGCCACCTCCACATCCCTTCTCTCTCCACCTTCTTTGTAACGACTTCATTCTCACTTTGACATTTTAGGAGAAAGGTACTACTTCTTTTATTTCTTTCTTATTTCAGCTTTCTCAATTTCTTCCCTCCTTCCTTTCATTCCTTTTCTCTGTTGTTAACTCTCTATTATATTATACATTGTCTGTACATCTTGATAGACTTTACAATATCTCAATTTTTTATCAAACTACTCCATTCTCAATGTTTTCTTTTTACTATTTATTTTATTCTCATTTCTTATATAACTTTATATTTCTTTTTTATGTTTTTACATTTTATTCTAAGATTCCCAATGTAACACTTTTGTCACCCCCTTTTTGATTATGCCTACTTCATCATTCCACGCTATGTAACAGTCTGTATTATTTATCTCTTAGTTCTTAGTCATTATTCTAACAATTTTATTTTACTTTATATCTATCTATTTTATTTTTCTTTTATCTAGATCTAATCTATTTTATTTTCTCATTTTTTTTTTTTTTGTTATTATCTTTTTTACCATCATTACTTAAGTTTCTCATACCTTGTTATCTGGTTATTTTCTTAGCCCTGATGATGGCCTGAACTTCAGGTCGAAACGTCGGCAGATGTAAAAAATAAATATTATAATTTATTTTTGCCTTCCTTTTTTGACTGAGCACCCCAACTATTCTTCTCTTCAATATTTGCTCTAGTTTTTCTACTTTTTAATATATATATTTTTTAATATATAATATTTATCTGATTATTAGTCATCATCAGGAATGCATTAATTCTCTCGAATCTCAATAACTCAAATCAAATAAAACTTTCATTTTTATTCATGTTAACTATACTATGACTTATTGAAATTTGAGATATCAAGGGCAAGAATAATTAAAATTCAATTTACTCAGGTGTTAAATCTTCCCTTTTCTAGAACCTAGAAGTGATCTAACTGATATTTTCTTCTTTTTATTACTAGACAAATGGCTCTCCTTATTTTTTTCTGATTTAATTTTGAATTATATAGGTTATATTAAATTTAAATAACTTATATCTTCTAGTTATCAAAGTTTGTGGCATTTAATTCTCATAATTTATTTTTGGTTATCTATACACTTGTTTAGACATTGATGTTTGAATGTTAAGGAAAATATAAGAATATATCCCAGGACCATGAAGTTTTTAAGGTTTCAGTTACAAGATTGATTAATTGTTTGTTTGTAATATATTAGATAAGGTTAAGGATAAATATTCTTCTACTCTTTAATGGTTAATGGGTTCGGGCTCCATATGAACATTTATGTATAGATTCAAATAGAATCTTTTTTTTTTTTTTTTTTGGTTAGGAAGTGAAGCAAGAAACTAAGCAAGGATAGTCAAAATTATCTAATTTTTGTACATGCCATCTTGTCATTATAGCAACCATCTCTTCGCGTCCCGTTGCCGGAAGAGTCTTTTATTTCCCCACTCCCTGGCCTGGGAAAACCTCTTATAGCCTTAACAGCGAGGAAGGAAGGACCCCTCCCCTCCCCTCCCCCCTCCCAAAAAAAAAATTGTTATTAACATCTCGGAGTAACAATATCTAAATTCTCCTGAAATCTAGTGGAAATGTTGATTGTTTTGTTGCCTTAAATTAATATATATTTTATCACTTCAATTCCTAAGATAGTATGATTGTTTCACGATGAATAGATTAGAGAATATATTTATTTTATTTCCACTTCTAATCTGATACCAAGTGAATTGCTATTTTATTGATTTGTAATTAATATAACTTTATTTTTGATACAAATTTAGCTTTTAAAAGGTTTACTTTATAGTTAGTCAACATTATTAATTTATTGATTTTTTTTTTTTTGATAAATAAACTTTGTTATTTGTGTAAATCCATAAAAAGAACCTTTAGAAGAATTTAATTTGTTGATTAATGGTATCATTAAATATATACCATAAGTGGCTCAAATGATGTTTAAAAGTAGGTATGGACATTTGATATTTACAATGAAAACAAACCTTTCTCTGATGAGCCTATGCTGATATAAACTTATCAATATTCTGATAGCGCAATTGATCCTTAAAATATTTCTCTGCATAGAACTGTTATACAATTTTCTTCCATATTTCAATTCACTTGATATCATTCTCCTTAGTCTGAAACAATTATTAATATGACTGGTGAATTGATATAAATATGAGTCTATCAAACACCAGTTATTTTCTTTTTCAGATGGAATTGGTCATCGCTTATATGGATAAGATATGCCGATTTTGTCAAGGTGAGTTAGAGGAGATATCAATTGGTAACCATTTTAATATTATCCATGGGATTTAGAAATTTTAGAATTGGACCGTGTTTCAGGGAAATTTTTAACATTAATTTTCTGTATGTTTTAAAGGAAACCGTTATCCTCTTAAAAGTATTTTTTCGTTATTTAAAAAAGTTAAAATTCCTTTCCCTGACAACAGGTTTTGTTCTCTGCCTGTAAAGTTATTATTGTTATTCTTGAAGTTACTGTTTGTTGCAGATGAATTTGATGCTTACATTGTGGTTTCTTTCTTGAGTGCTACACTGGTCCTTTCTATTGGTGAGACTGTTGAGGAAGTTGCTGACTCAGGGTTTCTGGGGTTCACTTCAACTCTTGCTTGTTCAGCTCTCGGAGACGATGCCGCTGTGCAGGTAATAACTTTTTTTGCTTGGTTAAAAATAATATTTAATCAAAATTAACTAGGAAGCCTTTTAAATTTGTTCTTAAAACTAATTGTTTTAGTTGTATCTTTTACATATTAGCTTCGTAAGTGCAAAGCAATCTTAATTTATTTCATTACTGAAATGTTTATCAATCCCAGCATTTAGATTAGGTGGCTCAAATGATGTTGTAAATGTAGGTAGAGACAATTGATCATTTTGTGAAAAAAAAAACTTTTCTGATGAGCCTCCATAATTTTAATATTTGTTTTTATATGAATATAAATATATTTGCTTAAAGTATCTTTGTATACATACTTAATTCAGTTCGATCCTGTTAATTTGTAATTCCAAGAGATTTATTACGAATTATTGTGATTGTGAAAGAGCAGCAGAATTATTAAATGTTCAAAAGGAAAAAAATCAGATCTCTGTATGTATTGTCAGGTTTTATTATTATTTCATATATGTACAATGCAAAATACACATTTTTGATGAAAAATAAATACTTAAATTATAATATATTCATTCGTACTTTTTTAACTGAAATAACAAAAACTTAATTTGTTGGTTGAAAGTTGTCCAGTGACCATCATTGTAAAATTGACGAAGTGTAGTTGGAGAAAAATGACAGTATTTTCTCTTCAATTTTTTTTTTTGCATCAGGAACTACTTTTAGAATTTCCTTATTTCTGCAAATGGAAAGACTTATGCTTACGTTTTGTATTTTTGCTTAATCCAACCTGAATTAAATATAAATAAATTTTTTTTTTCTCTCTTTTTCCTAATCATGATTTTTCCAAGAGACTAGAATTCATTTCTAATTAGTAGAATATAAGTTTAAAGGGGATCATTAAGATTGTGTTGTACATATATAAGAATAAATTACTCATGTCTAAAACCATTCTTAAGAAAAAATAAATTGTTGCTTTTTATTTCATTTTAAAACGTTTTTAAATTCTTTTAGGTTTTAATGATTTTCAATGTTTGGTTTAGGTTTATCCTGAAGGAGTTAGGCATATCAGATCTGATAAGAGGTTGCAAGATTGGAAAGTACCCGGCAAGAAGCAGATCATCAAGTGCGCTGTTAACAGAAGGCAAGTCGTCATTGCCTTGACGGGAGGGGAGCTTGTTTATTTTGAAATGGACCCGGTAAGTTATTTCAATAATGTTTATCAACTTTAATTAGAGGAACATTTGTTTAAAGAATAAAAAAATCTTAAAAATGATAATTTACCCAACATCATATAGGCAACTAACGTTTTCTTACTGAGAAATGTTAGTGTTCACATGTTGGCATAACAAAGTTGGTTGGATCTATCCTCCAAGTACTTCTTAAAATGGTTTATTTGGCTGGAAAACCTTCCTACATTTAGTTAACTAATTATTTTTTTCAAACTACTAAGTTATTAAAATTTTTGTTCTACTTTAACTTTTTATTTTAGACAGGTCAGTTGAAGGAGTATAATCAGTGGCAGGAGATGCAGTGCGAGGTGGTTTGCATGGCCTTGGGGAACGCACCCTCTGGGGAGCACATGTCTAGGTTCGTCGCTGTTGGCCTGGCAGATAACACAGTCAGGATTATCTGTTTAGATCCACAGGTTAGCTGAAATTTAATCAAGATTATATTTTTAAGGTAAAGCATTGTTGGTTTTCTCAATAAACAGCAGATCAGTGTTGTTTATAACCAAACGGCAATGCCACAGAATATCATCTTGTCGCCTCTGATTTGACAAATTTATGTACTTATTGGAGTGAACCAAGTATGACACAATTTTATGTTTTAAAGATTTTTTTGATAATTTGATGCTTGTGGGTCGCGCTGCCTTGGCTGTGAGCGGCTCACGATGGTTAGGCCCTGCACTAGTGTGCAAAGGTTTCCATGGCATCATAGAATAACCATTATTGGCAACTGTATATTCCATAGACCAACTGGAGCCCGTCGGGCAATGACTCTTGGTAAAACCATACAGTAGACAATTTTATCATTTACAATAGTTACAGATTTCATAAGTTAAAATTGTATTGGTGGTCATGTTTTAACAAGTAACATGTTACTTTAGTGATTCAAATTTTTGTTATAATTTCCGTGTTGATTCATTATTTATCAGTCTGTTGGTTTTAAAGCAATGAAATTAAAAAACAAAACACTAATTAATACCTAGCGCCTTATAGGTCATAAGTTCTTCTCTTCTCTTCCCCTCCATAACATTTTGTTATATAGAAAAATATTCAATTGGCTGCCTAAATCTTAGTTTTTCTCCTGTTACATGCGTGTTGATCTATTTAATGAAGGGTTTAATTTTAATACTTAGTTGCTGTTTCTTCATTTATATTTTGTTTATGATTATCCTTTCATGAATGTGTTTTTCAATGTACACTAGTAGTAAGATATTTATCATAGATATAATCATTGTATAAATATCTATGAAGCAATCTGGTTTTTATGATGAATCAAACCTTTGCGTACCTGTATGTAACAGTTGTTACATTTATTTTGATGACAACAGGGGCCAACTGAAAAGTCCAGATTGTAACATTAAGTTATAGTGACTATTATTTAAGTAGCCAATTTTTTTTTTTTTTAATTTACAACTGTATTTAAATAAATGCAACTGGTAAATGTGCACAAATTAGAAATAATGATATGAACAGACTTTTCGAGACACTACTACTCAGTGATAGCACTGTATACGCCAATGATATATATAATTGGCAAATAATTCATATTTGCGTAATACTTGAATGTTTAATGAAAATTAATTACTGTTTTTAATGTTAAGTGTTTTATTTGAAATATAAAATTACAGTAGACTAGAAGGAAATATATGTACATGTACCTACATATGTAGGTATTCCACTCCAAAGAATTATAATTAAAGAGATTAGCCAGTCTTAGGTTTTATATATATATATATATATATATATATATATATATATATACATATACTTCGGATTTGTTCATAAATTATCCATTGCCCAATTTAAATATTCGTGATTATATTTAGCAGTAACTTATGAAATGGCAAAATGGAATTATACTATACTTTATAGATAGTTCTTGATTAATGTTGTTTTGATCAATGTTGCCTATGCCTGTATGATGATTAATTTATATCACAGACCTGTGCTGATTGTCCCCTTCACTGATGTGATTTGATATATCTGACAGGCACATGATTTAATTTGCTAGTAAAAATTATTGTTTATTTTTTTAAAGTAGTTTTATATCTAAATCATTTTTGCTTTTGTGAAAATTGTCAGTAAGTTTATATTGATCTTTTTATATTTATTTTTTGCTATTCGAAAAAATTTTAATTGAAGTAGCTATTATATATTCAGAAAACCAAGTTATTTTAATACATTAGTTGATCTAAACTCTGTACCTGTAGGAGTTGAGAAATGTTGATTACAGCTCGTTTTGGAGGTTAAATTAGGAAATTTATTTTTAAAAAGAAATTATTTGCCAAGTTTATAAAATATATCTACTTAGGTTGACATATTGATAGTATGTATCATTATTCATGATTTACTTTATGGTTTTACAATATAATTATCAGTTTGATGCTTGTGAGTCGCACTGCCTTGGCTGTGAGCGGCTCACGATGGTTAGGCCCTCCACTAGTGTGTTAAGGTTTCCATGGCATCGTAGAATAACCTTAATCAGCAACTGTATATTCCATAGACCGACTGGAGCCCGTCGGGCGATGACTCTTCGTAAAACCATACAGTGGTCATTTGTGTTTAACAAGCTTTAGCCTTTGTAGACTCAAAAAGAAATATTTCTACAGATAACATCATGTAATTAGCCACCATCCTGTAGTGATACTTAAAATGATTTGATTATATTATAGCTGCAATAGCTGATTATAATTACGCTTAAAACCCAAACAGATGGTTCTTAATTAATGTTGTTTTGATCTTTATTGCCTGTGCCTGTATGATGATTAATTTATATCACAGACCTGTTCTGATTGTCTCCTTCACTGATGTGATTTGATATATCTGATCGGGCACAATTTTAAAATTAATTATTTTCAAAATATTGATTAATAGAAATAATTATTTTAACCTATTTGTGATTAGTTTTAATATTACAAGACATTGTTAAATAAACCTCATGAATAGGGCTGGCTATACTTAAGCAATTCCATATCTTATTTTCAATTCTTTCCATTATTTAATCTGCTAGTGAAAATTTTAATTGTTTAAATTTCCTAGTAGTTTAGATGCTATTCATTTTTGTTTTGCTGAAGATTTTGCTTAAATTAATATTTATCCATTTTTTTTTCTCTTAAAAATAGTTTAATTAAAGATGCTGTTATATATTTAGAACAGTTATTTAACACTGTTTGAATCATTTTATTATTTCTTAATGATTTATTAAAAATAAATTGTTCTTGTATTAAAAGCCAAGTTGAGATAGTGTAATCACTTAAATTGATCTGAATTATGGATCAGTAAATATGGATATTAACCACGTTGAGATAGTGTAATCACTTAAATTGATCTGAATTATGGATCAGTAAATATGGATATTAACCACGTTAGGTGGATTACCCACCATGTTTCATTATAATTATCAGTTTGATGCTTGTGAGTCGCACTGCCTTGGCTGTGAGCGGCTCACGATGGTAAGGCCCTGCACTAGTGTGCAAAGGTTTCCATGGCATCGTAGAATAACCTTAATCAGCAACTGTATATTCCATAGACCAACTGGAGCCCGTCGAGCGATGACTCTTGGTAAAACCATACAGTGGTCATTTGTGTTTAACCAAGCTTTAGCCTTAGTAGACACTAAAAAAAATATTCCTACAGATAACATTCTATACTTTGTATTTATCATTTCAACATATTTATTGTTGCTGATGTTATGAATATATGAGCACTTAAACTCATTTACTGCTGGTAACATGCCGTGACATTCATCAGGACTGCTGATTGCCTTCTAACTATTCACCATCCCCAAAAAAATTATAATGATGATAACACTGGTGTTAATGATAAACAAAAATTTTCTTTCTTCATCATGGCTCATTTTAGTTAATCCTGTTTATTCAGACATCATTCTTAGTCCTAGTTAATGTCTAATTTTTTACCACCTTTGATCCATACTTTTCTCTAAATTAAGTATTATAGTTGCTCAGCTCATGTTTAGCCGAATAGAATTTTTTTTAAATGCTACAAAAAATCTTTTAAATCTTTCCACAAGTCAATTTAGAGGTGATAATGATAATGGCAAAATTATTACCATTAGCATACATTTTCAGTATTGTTTTTTTTATTTTTTAGATCATATTGCCAATTATGTTTACTCTCAAACTTATATTAGTATATTAATATAAAGCGGTACTTATGTTTAATAAATCACTTTGTTTCATTTATAATGCATTAAAGAAGCTGCAATAATAATTAGTTTACTGTAAACGTTAGAAAGCACTCAGTATCTGCTCTTGGCAGGCTCACAAACTGCCCTTAGCTCGTAAGGGTGCGATATAAAATGTTGGTTCATCGTTGGGTGTTAGCACTAACATGTCTTTCACCTTGGTATATATTTTTCCAACAACACGCGATAAAATCTCAGTTGTAATGATAAACGTGTTATATAGGTATCGTATCCTCTTTATTCGATGCTTGTGAGTCGCACTGCCTTGGCTGTGAGCGGCTCACGATGGTTAGGCCGTGCACTAGTGTGTAAAGGTTTCCATGGCATCGTAGAATAACCATTATTGGCAACTGTATATTCCATAGATCAACTGGAGCCCGTCGGGCGATGACTCTTGGTAAAACCATACAGTAGACAATTTTATCATTTACAATAGTTACAGATTTCATAATAGCCATTTATTATATCACAGTCCCAGTTCAGTTAAATCATAAAAGAAAAGTGAGGACTGGCTTAAATTTAAGCTATGTTACGGAAATAAGCTTTTTCTCAACTAATTAAAAATGACAGTTGTCCATCTTTTGTAGGAAGCCACTCATTTGTTTATGTATTAGAATATTGGTTGATTAACATGCATTTATAACTAATTATCCGACTTAATTGCTGTAATTATTTTTTCAAATTGAACGAAAACCTATTATTTGATTTAAAATAAGTGAAAATTAATGATTTAGAATTAAATTCCTTTTATTTTTTAATTATAATTATACACAATCTGATTTGGTTTGAGATAATGTGACATCTAGAATGTTCACAACTTATAAGTGCTATTCAGATAAGAAGTTTTCATTCAGTTTGAAGAATTAAAATAAATTATGGCATAAGGTCCAGTTAACAAGATCATTTGAAGCTATCAATATGATCATAGATAGATTTAGGTTACACTATCAAACATTTTTAAAAAGAACAATATAATAAATTCTATCATTTAATTTTTTTAGGATTGCTTGTCGATGCTTTGTACGCAAGCTGTACCCGCTGCCCCAGAATCTCTGTGTATTGTAGAGATGGGTGGTGGTGATGGCAGTAGGTCGACCCTCTATTTGAATATTGGTCTTCACAACGGTGGTCTGTTAAGGACTGTCCTCGACCCGGTGACCGGTGATTTAGCCGATACGAGGACCAGGTATCTCGGTACCAGACCTGTCAAGCTTTTCCCGATCACGATGCAAGGCAGCCAAGCTGTAAGTATATCGTTAGTGCTGAGTTTTTATTTTTAAATGACCAATGTTTACTGTGTGTGGCCAAGTATTTAATTACATAATTGTTTTATTTACCAGTAAAAAGTATAAGTTTCATAAAATTAAAAACTACTAAGAAATTTTAATGAGAAACAGAAGTTAAATATACGGGCCTTTTTACATAGCCAGGTTTCTCTTTCATAACTTTGTTCAAGAAATTGTATTTAAGTTTTTAAACATCAGAGGAGAAAATCACAAACTTTAAAGCATTGAGGGAGGAAACCATATCCTTTATAAACATTTTTACACAGTTAAAGTTTTCAATCTAAATCAGCATTGTAATTACAATATTTTTGTACTAAAAGTGCTAGGAAGATATCCTTACCTGGCAACTTTATTATCAGTTATTTATTTTTTATTTTTTTTTAGGTGATTGCTATGTCTAGTCGAACATGGTTGAGCTATTGCTACCAGGGCAGATTTCACCTTACCCCACTGTCGTACGACTCCCTGGAATATGCCTCCGGGTTCGCCTCAGAGCAGTGCCCTGAAGGTATCGTTGCTATATCTACGAATACCCTGAGGATCTTAGCCCTTGAGAAGTTAGGGGCCGTATTCAATCAGGTAAAGGCCATATAGATTACTTTGTAATTATATTTGATTTGGTGTAGCATTTAATGATGATAGTTCTTCTGTCATAAGTTATTGTATCAAACTAAAAGTTACATAACATTTTATTGATGACATAGAACGGCCATCTGAAAATGCAATTTTAATCTCATACACCTCCAACAATCATTAGGTTACTTTTATGTGTCCACAATATAATATTCTGTTAAATATAAATTACCCGTCAAAAGTATTGCAACACGCTTAACAATCTCTGAATTTTCTTGATTTTGACCTTACCCTAATCCATACTTAGTATATTTATAAGAACAATGAAATAATATTTTCATAATAATATAAGTGTTAATTCAATTTTAAGTTTATCGCTTGCGAATTTTCATATTTTCTTTTTCTACTTCAATTCCTTTATTTTTGACTTGGCAAAACCTTGCTTAATTGTTTCATGACATATAGTGATGATAGTTCACATGGCATAATCTAAGAAGTTGTTATGTCTTAGAACATTGTTGATGACAATAGAACGGCCATCTGAAAATGTCAGTTTACTAGTTCTGAACTACGTTATTAGGATAATTTTATAAAGTAAGCTTTCTAACTTTTTTGTTAATTGAAAGAAATATTGTAATTTACTTTAATAAAATTTGTTTATGTCCAGCTTAAAAATGTTTATTATAGGCTTCAGAATGTTGCAGTACTTTTGCCCTGGAGTTTATTATTATTACTTGGTTATAGTTTTAGATTATCATGAGTTCTCAATGGAACAGTTCTTGAAATAATCTACTGCATAATTATATTTACAAATATATCTGATTTTTATATAAGAACAATATAAAAATATTGTCATAACAATATAAGTGTTAATTCAATTTAAAGATAATCGCTTGCAAATTTTCCCATTTTCTTTTTCTACTTCAAATTCCTTTATTTTTGACTTGGCAAAACCTTGTTTAATTATTTTATGACATTTAGTGATGATAGTTCACATGGCATAGTCTAAGAAGTTGTTATGTCTTAGAACATTGTTGATGACAATAGAACGGCCATCTGAAAATGTCAGTTTACTAGTCCTAAACTACGTTAATATCTTTATTAGCTTTGTTGATTTTCAATACTTCTTATTAATTTTAAGAAAAAAATTGATATTATTTCTTGTTCATAGTAGTCATTCCTTTCAGCTTGTTGATTTAATTGACGTCCTCGACATTTTCCAATTTATCGAAAAATTTGGTTTATTAATTTTATAAATTTTAAAATGCTTTATTTTAATAAGGTTTTGAAACTTAAATTTCCTTCAGTTTTGGAATTTTTAATTATTTCAAGTTGTTTTTCCAAGTTATTTATTTTTATTTTCTGATGCATAGTAACAATACTGAGGTGTAATATGTAATATATTACCAACAAGATAAGGCTCAAATGATGACAAAAAAAAATTAAAGTAGGTAGAGACATTTGATGATTCAAATGAAAATAAAATTTTTATCCTGATGAGCCTTTATCATGTGTATTATTTGAAACAATGGGTATTTTAAATTATGAATTTTTTAAAATAGAATTAAGAACCTAAATTTTTACATTGATAACTTTCCTTTCCATATGGTAATAAATAATATATGTTGACAGGTTTCATTTCCATTAGAATATACTCCGAGGAAGTTTGTTGTACATCCTGAGACTGGCAACTTGATTGTAATTGAGACTGAACATAATGCCTATACTGAGGAAACAAAAAAACAAAGGAGGATACAGATGGCAAAAGTAAGTGTTATTTCTTAATTTTGTATGTACTAGTAGTTGTAATGTAAATAAATTGGTAATAAATTAATTTTATTATTATTACATCATGTAAATTGATAATTTTTATTTTGATATTAAAAAACAAATACATATTTTATAGTCATTAAATAAATGTTTCACTCAAAGTAAAACTACATTTAACAGACAAATAATATCTATTCATAGATTCTGATTGTAAAATAAATGTATGCAATTTCACTAATATGTTTGCAACATGAAGACTTTTTTTTTTACATGGTTACATTTGTTATTTTTGAATGAACCATCTGTGCTTTATTATTTCAAATGTTGTAGAATAGGATCTAACTGTGTTGTGTGTTACATTCTTATTCTGGGAAGAGGTGTTAATGTATCTTTGCGTTTCCTTAAATTTTATTAATTCATAATTTTGTTAAAAATTATCTTTTTTTACTCTTGTTCCACCACTTCTTGACAAAAATTATTCCAAAATTTTTAACCTATATTTCCATCAAGATGAGAGGCTCAAATGATGACAATAAAAAATATTAAAGTAGGTAGAGACATTTGATAATTCAAATGAAAAAAACATTTTATTCTGATGAGCCTTTATTTTTTAATTTATACTAATATAAGTAGTCCTTTTTAAAAAAAATTAATTTTACTCAAATTATTTTTATCTAATAAGATGATACGTTACCAAATTAATTATTTTCTTCAAAATAAATAACTAGCACCATGAGCTGGAACTGAATACTTTATTTTAGTTATATTATACTGATAGTTAACATTATTAAATATTACTAATTTTTCAACCTTTTTTTTTTTTAAATTTGTTTCATACATTGTAATACAATAATTATGATTTAATTTTAGGAAATGGAAGAAGCTGCTGGAGAAGAGGAAATGGAGATAGCTAAAGAAATGGCTGCCGATTTCCTTTCAGAGGACCTGCCCGAGAGGGTGTTTGGCGCTCCTAAAGCTGGCGCTGGGATGTGGGCCTCGTTGGTAAGGATCATGTATCCTGTCACCGGGCAGACTCACCATCTCTTAAGACTAGAACAGAACGAAGCAGCAATCAGGTCAGTACATCTTTATATACAAGTTCCCCTAGAACAGAAGTGATAAATTATCCTATCATTAAAGTTTCAATTCTTAAAATTCATTATTAAACGGTAAATATATATATCGATGCTTGTGAGTCGCGCTGCCTTGGCTTTGAGTGGCTCACGATGGTAAGGCCCTGTACTAGTGTGCAAAGGTTTCCATGGCATCGTAGAACAATCATCATTTGGCAACTGTATATTCCATAGACCAACTGGAGCCCGTCGGGCAATGACTATTGGTAAAACCATACAGTAGACAATGTTTAATTTTATTATCATGAACTATCATCATTAATTTTACTAATTAGTCTGTAAGTATTAATTTTTAATTATATATTTATATTTTTTACTGTTATTGATGCTTAACCACTTGTTTCTATACAATATAGAACTTTTCAGTATGTAGCTGATAGCTGTAAAAGTAGTCTTTTTAAAGCTAGGAAAAAATTAAGATGATTATGGGACTTATAATTTTATTTCGTATTTCATGACTTTAGCCATCTTTTAGATCAGTTAACTGATGCCACATAACGTAAGATATCACAGTCAACATCATGTGTTGCTTGTAGTTCTGTAATTATTGTATTGTTCCTTACTATTATTTAATCAGTAAGAATTATTAATATAAAAAAGTAGTGCACTATTAAAATTCTTAGCCTTAATGTACCACATTTAAAGCAATGATTTCGCAGTTAACATATTATACTTCATGTAGGAATCTATACCCGAAAGTGTTTGCATACTTTTATTACTGCTAAAACGTCTTTTTAAAATACAAGTTTCCAAAGTCTGAATTAAACTTAGCAGGTGTGTATATTAAAGCTCTACTTTGTTCATGAAATATCTTGGCTCCTAAACCAATATTGATAAGTTTAAAATAATTTTTGTGTATATCTTTTATCACATTCTTAAAAGTAAGTGTTCACTTTCTTATTTTGATTGATTCTGCCTGTGCCTGTACGATGATTAATTTATATCACAGTTTAATTTAAGGGGCTATTATGTATTTAGAAAAGTTATTTAACACTATGTGATTTTAGGCATGATAATTAAAATACATGATGTTAAAAACTTATTTGAGCAAGTTGTTCGTTTTTGATTAATTTTATTATTTCTTAATGGCTTATTAAAAATACATTGTTCTTATATTAAAAGCCAAGTTTAGGTAGTTTAATCACTGAAATTGGCCTGAATTATAGGTCACAAATATGGAGATTAACCACGATTGGGGGGTTACTCACTATGTTTCAATATAATTATCAGTACGATGATTTTTAGAAACAATCAAATTGCCAATTGTGTTTACTCTCAAACTTATATTAATATAAAGCGGTATTTTTGTTAAATAAATCACTTCGTTTCATTTATAAAGCATTAAAGAAGCTGCAATAATAATTAGTTTACTGTAAACGTTAATAAGCACTCAGTATCTGCTCTTGGCAGGCTCACAAACTGCCCTTAGCTCGTAAGGGTGCGATATAAAATGTTGGTTCATCGTTGGGTGTTAGCACTAACATGTCTTTCACCTTGGTATATATTTTTCCAATAACACACGATAAAATCTCAGTTAAATGATAAACGTGTTATAAAGATAATATCCTCTTCATTCGATGCTTGTGAGTCGCACTGCCTTGGCTGTGAGCGGCTCACGATGGTTAGGCCGTGCACTAGTGTGTAAAGGTTTCCATGGCATCGTAGAATAACCTTAATCAGCAACTGTATATTCCATAGACCAACTGGAGCCCGTCGGGCAATGACTCTTGGTAAAACCATACAGTGGTCATTTGTGTTTAACAAGCTTTAGCCTTTGTAGACTCAAAAAGAAATATTTCTACAGATAACATCATGTAATTAGCCACCATCCTGTAGTGATACTTAAAATGATTTGATTATATTATAGCTGCAATAGCTGATTATAATTACGCTTAAAACCCAAACAGATGGTTCTTAATTAATGTTGTTTTGATCTTTGTTGCCTGTGCCTGTATGATGATTAATTTATATCACAGACCTGTTCTGATTGTCTCCTTCACTGATGTGATTTGATATATCTGATTAGGCACAATTTTAAAATTAATTATTTTCAAAATATTGATTAATAGAAATAATTATTTTAACCTATTTGTGATTAGTTTTAATATTACAAGACATTGTTAAATAAACCTCATGAACAGGGCTATACTTGAGCAATTCTATATCTTATTTTCATTTCTCTCTATTATTTAATCTGCTAGTGAAAATTTTAATTGTTTGAATTTCCTAGTAGTTTAGTAGATGCTATTTTATTTTTGTTTTAGTGAAAATTTTCCTTAAAATAATATTTATCTATTACTTTTTTGCTCTTAAAAATAGTTTAATTAGAGATGCTATTATATATTTAGAACAGTTATTTAACACTGATTTTAGGCATGTTACTTGAAACACACGATGTTAAAAACTAATTTGAGCAAGTTATTTGTTTTTGAATAATTTTATTATTTCTTGATGATTTATTAAAAATACATTGTTCTTATACTAAAAGCCAAGTTGAGATACTTTAATAACTTACATTGCCCTGAACTTAAAATTATCACAAGTTATGGATCACTAAATATGGATACTAACCACCACGATTGGGTGGATTACCCACTATGTTTCAATATAATTATCTGTTTGATGCTTGTGAGTCGCACTGCCTTAGCTGTGAGCGGCTCACGATGGTACGGCCCCTGCACTAGTGTGCAAAGGTTTCCATGGTATCGTAGAATAACCGTATGAGCTACTGTATATTCCATAGACCAACTGGATCCCATCGGGCGATGACTCTTAGTAAAACCATACAGTAGTCATTTGTGTTTGACAAATCTTAGCCTTTGTTTGTAGACACTGAAAGAAATATTCCTACAGATAACATTCTATACTTTATAGAAAATTATACTATACTTTATAGATAGTTCTTAATTAATATTGTTTTGATCAATGTTGCCTATGCCTGTATGATGATTAATTTATATCACAGACCTGTGCTGATTGTCCCCTTCACTGATGTGATTTGATATATCTGACAGGCACAATTTTTAAATTAAGTTTTTTTTTTTTTATATAACAGTTAAAATATTAATAAATCGAAACTATCATTTTAACCAACTCTCGTGATAAGTATTTTTTAAATATAAAAATACAGTTTTTAGTTATATACTATTACAAGACCTTGTCAAATATATTTTATGAATATGAATTATTAACTTATTAATAGCTTGCCCACAATTAGTTAGCCTTCCGAGGGCAAAGTAGCTGAAATTTTGATTTGTTTCCGTAATCCTTTAATATTTCTTTCTAAATATTTTCACTGTAAGTATTTTAAAAAAGCTAAGGAAAGACAAAAAATTAGTTTTTGACCTAAATTTACGATGTTACTCCTTTCCTGAGCTGTAATGTTGTGCCTGCGCCTTTTGAACATAATATCTGTAGGTGTAGATTTAACGTGTAAGATGTAGCGTTGTATACTAATTTTAATAAAACATAATCATTGAAATCATTGAACTCCTCATTGTAATATCACTAAATATTAAATGAGCGATTAATTAAATTTTCGATGAACGCATGGAATCTTCCTTCAAAAGAAATTTCATATGATAGTAATGATTCTAGGCTAAGAATTTTCTGAAAACTCTCCTTTGTTTTTCATGTTCATTCCTACACCTTGCCCTTCTGTTAACAATTAATTGATAAAATTGCGTTTGAGGCTAACTAATTCAAGAATTATGCTGATATTGCTGAGAGCTGAACAGAATTTTCATTTTATACATTTAAAATTGCAATTCCCAAGAACTTTAATTCTTTCAGTGTAGTAGTCTCAGGTTTTCATTTAGATGTACATAACAAATATTTGTCTATGAAGTATTTGGTTGTTAAAAATAACATAGTTTATTTTAGAAAATTTAGAAGTTATTGCCTGATTTTGTTTATAATAGAAAAATTTAAATAACTTTCATAATTTAAATAGAGTCAACTTTATGATAATGCTGAATAGAATAGAATAGAAAATAATTTTATTCTGGGACGAAGTCCCTTTAGAATAACAAAAAAAGTACAAAATTAAAATATTATATCTGGCCTAAATAAAAACAAACTGAATGATGTCTATTCCAACATTTTCTAGGCAACTAAATTTTCTTAATGGAAATGTTAGTGTTCAGGTGTTGGTATAGTAAATTGGTTTGAACTATCCTCCAAATACTTCTATAAAAGTGATATATTTGGCCGGAAAACCTTCCTACATTTAATGAAAGTTATTTCAGAAACATTTTGTTATAATAATGTAATTTAAATTTTTTTAAAAGCTTTCATAATTTAAACAGTTGGTTTTTTATGGTAATAAAAGTTGTTAATGATGACTAAGTTTGTATAAAAGTTGTTAATGATGACTATTCCAACATTTTCTAGGCAACTAAATTTTCTTAATGGAAATGTTAGTGTTCAGGTGTTGGTATAGTAAATTGGTTTGAACTATCCTCCAAATACTTCTAAAAGTGATATATTTGGCCGGAAAACCTTCCTACATTTAATAAATGTTATTTATTAAATAATTTTTTTAAAAATAAACTTATTAAAAAGTAGTGTTATACTAATTCATTTTGTAAATAGATTATTTTGAACTCTATCAAACTTCTAATTTTTTAGCTTGGCCATTTGCAAGTTTTCCAACCAGCCAGACAACCAACAGTTCTTGGTTGTAGGAGTAGCCAAAGATTATCAACTCAACCCGAGGCAGATCAGCAGTGGCTATCTTAACACATATAAGTAAGTTAAATCTCTTGTATTCTGAGTTCTAGTAGATTATTCTTGTGAATTCAAAGTGGAGTAAAGATATTTTTTCAAATAGGCATGGGAAAAGTAAAGGGAATTTATTGTAAACCTGGAAACTCCACTAATTTGTTTACATTAATGTATTAAACTCAAATAAATTAATTGTTAGCGCTAGTCCAAGGCAAATTATGTTTTGATTCTTACTACAATGAAAGTGTCACTGTAATATAATGAGCAATCCTGAACTCGCGATATGTTATCTGCTGCTTTTTAAGGAAAGGATATGTTGACCAGCTGTGGTCTCCATCATGCTAACTATTTGAATAAATAATGTGGGATTGTTGACCCCTTATTGAATTAGCAAATAACGTATACCCATCAAACGATAAAACCCATCAAACAATAAAAATCATAAAACAATCTCATCATAAAATTTGTGTTGTGATAATTCTAATATTTAATTATGGAAAGGTATATTTAAGTACACATGATGTTGAACTCACACGAAGGCTGAGCTTTTATTGAAGACACGTCCTGCAGTTCTGATGTACTTACTTTCCCAAGAGATTCTTTTATTTTATTTTACAATAAAAGATTTTAAATTGATTGTCCTTTTTTTAAGAGAAATATCCATTTAGTGGGAGAAAAAATTGTAAATATTTAAATTTTATTTCAGTTTGTTTTTAAAAACAGGAAAAAGTAAGATTAAGTTAATTGTTATTTTTATTTCTTGTAATTGTATTAGATAAACCAACATAACACACTCCTCCCCTCTCTTCTCTATAATGTTAATTTATTTTAGACTTATACATGGGCGGTTCTACAGGAAGAAGGGGGGGAGGGCTTTGGAGTTGAAGCCCATCCCAACATGGTATAATATAACTATGTTTTATGGAAAAAAATTATCTCTTAAAAGTTTATTGTTCGTGTAATTACATTTAAAAAGACTTAAGGAATCCTTTGAACACCATTTCATATAGGTACTTAATTTCTTTTTTTCCAAAGTAATTATCGTTCTTTATTTTTATGAGAAAAAAAAAAAGCTTTCGGTCTGAAGCCCCTCCCAAAATTAAATCCTAGATCCGCTAGTGGCCTTATATATTTATATCCATGTTAACCTCATAAGAGTTTTTTTTTTTTTTCCTTCAATATCTTGGTATATAATATACTAATACAATTTATTATTTTGTTAGTGACCAAAAAATAAATATTCTCCTTATTTCCTTCCCGATATTCCTAAGTTTAGACCATATACTAGACTATAGTTGGCAAACCGCGGCCTCTGTGACATTGTTGTGTCCTAAACTTTTTTGTGCCTAAACTTATTAATCTAGTACTATAATTAATAATTATTTAAGTAATAACAATTGGGAAATTAATGGAATTAAATTGAATGTAGTTAATGGTAAGTATAAATAGCACTGGTAAAGTATAAAGAATTATTGAGGCCTCCATATAAAGATTCATTCCCCGCCTATGGACTAGATTAAACTAACTTCAAAACTAGTTATTATATTAAGTATTAGTAACCAGAGCGTTTTTGAGCTTCTATCGATTTAATTTAATAAGTATACCTGATGATAAACTCACACTAGGGCTGAATTCTTATTGAAGACACGTCCTGCAGTTCTGATATACTTATTTAATTTGTGAAGTAGTTAAAATATGAATTATTACTTAAGAAGTCTAATGCCTGTTCACTTCTACAATTATGAAAGTTTCTCATTTATTGTTATTTACAATAATTTATATTTTTTAATCAGGTTCACAAACAATGGGTGTAGTTTAGAATTGGTCCATCGTACACAAGTTGATGAACTTCCGACTGCCATCTGCTCTTTCCATGGAAGAATATTGGTTGGTGTCGGCCGCCTGCTCAGGTTGTACGACCTAGGCAAAAAGAAGCTGTTAAGGAAATGTGAGAACAAGGTATTAAAAATTATAAATGTTTAAACCTCATTTTATCATTTTGCGTCTGATAATAGTATTTTTAGTCCCTACGCCATAACTTCGTCAATTCTTTATCAAATCCAATGATTGACCACTTATTTTTAAGATATTCTTCTTCACATGCGAAAAATAGTCTGTCCTATCCTCCCGAAATTTCTGGAAGAAAAATTATGAAGGAATAAAACTTTTTTAATAACTCAAAAAGTATGCAAAATTTTTTTTTTATTGTGCCCGTGGATAATAAAGATTATTAAAGTACCTACAAAACAATAAAAAAAATCAGACAATTATTAACAAAGATACTGTCTATCAGTTTTGTTATACTTAATAATTTCATCCTCTTTAAAGATATTGTATTTGCTATTCTACTACACTTTTTTCCTGGCTGATATATTAACTTGATTATTTCGTTAAGGTATTTGTTTGTTCTTACATTCTTTTTTTTAATAATTTAGATAATCCCATGATCGAAGCTTTATTATCTTTCCAGTCAGGGTTTAAAAATAGGTTCTAGCAAAGCAATTCGTACAAATATTTTGGTCTATTATGTTAAATGGAATTTTGTTATCGACCATGGGAAAAATATTAATTCCTTCCTTACAATAATTCACGGGATCTACTTATTTCCATATCGTTTTGTTATTTCTTCACTAAACTTAATTTTCTGCGAATTATTCGACGGGCCAACTAGTATATAATTAATATATTGTTTTGTATTCTAGCATATTCCTAACATGATCGTCAGAATAGAAGCGATGGGCAGAAGGGTCTACGTCAGTGATGTACAGGAAAGTGTGTTCATGGTTAGGTATAAGTCGGCAGAGAACCAGCTGATCATCTTCGCTGATGATACACAGCCTCGTTGGATCACGACTACCACCATCCTTGATTATAACACTGTAGCCACGGCCGATAAATTTGGAAACATTGCTGTTGTAAGTAGTTAGTTATCTATAAAAATCTCTTATATTTTTTTAATTGAATTCAGTTTGATTTAGTCTGTCTAATTATGAATTTGGCTCCTAAATGAAAATATCAAGGTAAGATAGGAAAGTTTAGTTTGATCCAAGTCCCAAAATGAGGGATGAAAAGTAAAGATAAGAGTAATGCCTATGTATGAGAGTCAAATATTTTCTCATCTTTTTTTTTTTTTATTAATGTTCAATCATCGACTAAACTAACAACAAAAACACTAATATTATTTATTAGTGGGAAGGTTTTGTGATTATTATTGGTCTAATTAAGTACAAGTGATGATAAACTCACACTAGGGCTGAATTCTTATTGAAGACACGTCCTGCAGTTCTGATGTACTTATTGCATTTGTGAAATTCATAAAATATAGACCTACCAAGTGATATAACTACAATTTAAAAAAATTGGGACATGGTTTATATTACATAACCTGTTGAATACTGGATATTCTAATTGTGTGAAGGCCGTGGTGTGTATTCTGGCTAGAAGCAGAGGAAAAACTGATGCTAAGGCTTATCACTCCATTCCAACGTATATCAACTGGTTACAATTCAAAATTTCTTATAAAAATGACAATCAAATATACATTGACACATGTTTATTTTCCATTCCCCTATTTGTCCTCTTTAAATTGAGCTTTCTTTTCTCACTTGAAGATTTTCATTCAGGAGACTTATACATATTAAAAAATACAAGGTTAAACTGAATTCAAAATAAAATTTTTGCTCTGTTAGAATTTCATTCCAGTAGGAGGAATCTCTGTGTTCAATGCTTTTTAGATACGTCATTAAATTTATTCAGTTTCTTTTTTTTTTTTTTGTGAATCTAAAACTTTTTTATAATTAATTATTAAGGTATCCTGTTTCGTCGTGATAATATTTTATGTTAGTCACAATGTTATTATTTTTTTTTAATGTAAATAAATGATCAATACAATATGAAATTTCTTTATAGAGAAATTTAACTGTTTTCTTAAAAAAAAAAGAAAAGAAAAAAAATTGTTTCAGAGATGTTGATTGATAGTGGTTTTGTTCTAGATTCGCCTGGCTAGTAACGTTACAGACGATGTGGACGAGGACCCTACAGGCAACAAAGCCCTCTGGGATCGAGGTCTTCTCAATGGAGCATCTCAAAAAGCAGACTTTGTTGCTAATTTTCATGTTGGGGAAATGGTGACGTCATTGCAGGTTAGTGTTCGATTATTCAACTTTTACGATTTCTATTATGTTAATTCTATGATGATTATTATTTATCCGTGTTTCATCTGAGATCATATGATTACATAAATTATCTGAGAGTTTAGTATATTCTTAATTAGTAAAATTTAAATCAAGAAATGTTTTTAACTATTTTTGTTTGATTGGCAGAAAGCTACATTGATTCCTGGTGGTTCCGAATCTTTAGTATACACCACCCTTTCTGGTTCAGTTGGTGTCCTGGTACCGTTTACATCTCATGAGGACCAGGATTTCTTCCAGCATTTGGAAATGCATATGCGGTCTGAAGCACCTCCTCTTTGCGGCCGGGATCATTTATCCTTCAGATCTTATTACTTCCCTGTTAAGGTAAAGTTCTGAGTTCTTATCTAATACTAAGTACCTTTTTGTCGCGTTAATGAATTTTTTAAAGTGATGATTTTTTTTTAATCCGTGTTTCATCTGAGAAATTATGATTACCAATATATTCTGATTCAATTATTTTGCTACATCTTTAATGCTAAATATTGTTTATATGGATGGTATTAATAGTACCTTGCAATTGCAGAATGTGATTGATGGAGACCTGTGTGAACAATTCACGTCTTTAGAGGCAGCCAAGCAGAAGTCAATAGCAGAGGACCTTGATAGGACACCGAACGAGGTGTCGAAGAAACTTGAAGATATCAGGACGAGCTATGCCTTCTAAGTTCATCACGCTCACCTCTTAGTTTTTATATTTTTTGTCTGGTAGATGGTTTTTTTATTTGCCAGTCCTATTCTGTGATCTCCTATACTGTATCTACTTTAGTTCAAGTTGTACATAAATTATTTATATTGTTTTGTTTATTTTATATGTCGAGAATTTTTTTAATAAATATATATTTTTAATTTGTACCAATGAATTATTTATTTTGACCCCTCTTTTTTTATTTTTTAGTGTTAAGAAATTAAAAACTGCTCAGATTTAGTGCTTATCATTATAGTATAAGGAGTCTAACACATAGTCTCTTCGCCAATCTAACCCATTCACATCTCATTCAGAAACAAGCCATACACTGACAGCCACATCTAGCCAGAAACTTCTTTTTACTTATCAAATCTAACCAATTCAGAACTTAACCAACAATATCAAGTATTCTTATAAAGGACTAAGACATGATTTATTGTTACTCTTCCTGAAATTAAACCATTTGTAGAATAAATTTTAAGAATTTAGGTCTAGTAATCTAGAGGTGTTGATAAAAGCCCTAACTAACAACAACTTAGTCCTCTTTGAACAGAATTTTTCAGAATTCCAGTTTATATTTGAGTAAAAACGATAAATTCCCATTCTACTACAATCTGTAGAGGACTTAAGCTCGCTCTGTACTTCTGTGTACAGTACTTAAGTTCTGTTTTTGGTGAAGGATGTGCATGAAGGTGATCATTAATTGCCATATTTTAACAAATAAGAATACACATTTGATAGATGCAGTGTCTCTGGGGGTTTGGATCCATGGCAAAAATAATTATCTGTCATAGCTGGATTAAGGGTTGAGAAAAGAGGAGCATATTTTCTTGAATTATTCTGCTCTTATATAAAAAATACGGCAATTCAAAAAAAGCATATTTTTCAACGCAACATTTCAACTTAATTATTAAAAATTAACTTATATTAATGTATGACAACTATGCACTCCTTATTTTAGTTATACAATAATTGAAAATCTTTTGTTTTTTGTCCCTTCATTGCTTTCTATGATTAGAACAGTTTTCTAAAATCGTTGGGTTAACACTGATATATTTATTATTCATCTTCACTATGTTAATATGGTTGTGTTTAGACAGGTTCCTCAGCTCTCATGTGATGAATGAGGTATCAAAGAGAAAGAATTTTCGATCAGAAAATTCTTATAATCCGTATTTGCTTTGTGAAAATTTTATGATATCAAATAAGGCTCTGTTTATTTCTTCACCATATTTATTTTAATTTTCATAGCTGCGTTTCGACCGGTAAGCCATGTTCAAACCATTTTATCCAACCATGCTTTTTGCATGTAGTCCAAAGACTGATTGGACTACATGCAAAAATCATGGTTGGATTAGATGGCTTACCGCCCGAAACGTAGCTATGAAAATTAAAATAAATTGGTGAAAAAATAAACAGCCTTATTTTATAATCTTATAATAATGTTCATAAAAATCAATTAAGAAATTATGAGGTTTCAAAAGTAGATAGATCTAAACAAGATATATTTTGTTGAAGATTTCAATGGAAACATCGAAACCCCCAGTATATTTCCGAAGGAACTTCACTTAGGCTCTGTGTTTTAAACTACTATTTTTGAGATATTCCATAATTATTGCTAAAAGTCTCTTAGGTGACGTAGTTGCCATTGGATACTCATAATATATTTATAGTTTAAAAATAAAAATATTGCTATCTATGATAATCGTAGATGAACTAATAATTATTGAAAAGGTAGATGAACCATCCCTCTGTAACTTCAGGTAATATAGAAAGAAACTTATATTTTAATAAATATCCAGGTATGGCTTCTACATTCTCTGTAATATACTTCCTTATTAATAAGCAAGAAAACCACAAGGGCTCTTCTTTCTGCACCTAACAAAATAGGTCTTGAGCAGGTGCAATAATGGATTGATAAGAGTTCAGATGTATTTGGTTGTGACATTAAGTAAATTGACCAGTTGTAAAGTATGAAGCTTCGTCAATTGTGTATGTTGAATGGACTATCTTTATAACATCTATTTTATTTGCAGTAACTGTTCCAGTTTTTAAAAAATGTTGAGTAGATTATACAAATTGCTACTTGGAGAAGTCTATTTTGGTGAAAAAGTTGTAACATCCCTGGTATTTACTTAACTAACTCAGATAAGTAATTTCAGTTTCCTGTAACTTTGTTTTTGAGCCAGACTGTTCACATAATACACATACAGATCATTTATGGTGTATTTTACCGTTGTAAACTCAGATTTGAAAATTTTCAAAATTACAATACTTTCCAATACTCTATATTTTTTAAATGGTTAAACATGGGTGGATCCATGAGAGGAGGCTTTCGGGCTGAAGTCCCCCCAAAAAGGTAAAATATAACCATGATTTATAAAAAAATTATCTTTAAAAGTATTATTGTTAGTATAATTACATTTTTAATAAGACTTCAAGAATCACTTAAACACCATTTTGTAAAGATAATTAGGATCTTTCTTCTTTTTCCTAAGTCATAATCCTTCTCTCTCTATATATATAAAAAAAGCTTTTGGACTGAAGCCCTTTCCCCCCAAATTAAGTTCTGGATCCGCTAGTATGGCTAAGTGAAAGTATAAAGTACACATAAAATTGGGTGCCACAGGATGTTTTAAAAATTATGCCATGGACTAAAATTATTAAATAAAAAACAAAAATTGAATGTTAGGTTTTGGCAATTTATCAATGGGTATTATCTTCATCTTCCCAATTTATGTTCACGTAATAAGGAAAGAGTCTTAAACAAATTTTCTACTCAAAGGCACATTTATAGGTTTTTATTGTTTGATATTTTCAATAATAATAAAAAGAATCATTTTAACACATAAAATATCATTTACATTATTTATGTGAATAAATAATTATTTAATAATAAATTAGAAATACACTCAAGATATGAAATTTTGTTATAAGAAATAAAAATGCTAAAAGATAATGTGATATTTCCACTACATTTCAATGATGAGTGCTTCATAATTTGTAGAGTATGATTATTTGAAATAACAAAAAAGATTACTAACTTTGTCATTTAGTTTCCATTCTTAAAAAAACAAAGGGAAAATTATGATTGATAGGAAAATATAGTTAACAATCTGTGATTTTGAAAAATTACTATTTAAAAAGAAGCACGATTTTTAATTAATTACTTATATATAAATATAAAAAAAAACTATTACATATTTTATTACAATTTGTTGAACAACAACACTGGATAACCTTTTGTATTTGGAAGTAGTTTTGAAAATGCATATTATTAAGTCAAATAATTAGAAATCAGTGTATAGAATTGATAGAAAAATAACTTGATTATGTGACAATGTCCCTTAAGAATAACAGCAGTGTAAGGAAAAATAACGATTATTTCTAGTCAAAAGATTTATTATATTAAATAAATGAAATAAAATAACAATTATCAAAATTCATGAAATTAATTGAACTTGGAAATAATCAGAGAATTGTATGGAGAAAATTGAAAGTCGGATAATTATATTAACTAGAGGATGTGGGCACAATTTTATGGTTCAGAAGTATTGTTAGTTGCAAAGAGTTTAACATAATAATGATAAAGTTACAAGTATACGTGAAATGTGTTAAATGTATTAAGGTGTGTTCATCAAATTTTTTTTATTGATTATTTTTTCTGATTATATTCTTAAGACTATTTGTTAAAAAATCATGTCAATAAAAGCTATTATTTTTGCTAGTAAAATTTTATCAGTATTACAGATCACAGGCGGAACTACGAGGGGAGGCTTTCAGATTGAAGCCTCCCAAAATGGTAAAATGTAACCATGTTTTATGGTAAAATATTATCTATCAAAGTATTATTGTTTGTGCAATTACATTTAATAGGACTTCAAGATTCACTTAAGCACCATTTCATATATTGAATACCATTCATATAAACATCATTTTTTTCCTGGATGATGAATAATCAGGACGCAGTCTTTTTTAAAAAAAAAATTTTTTATTTATGCCAACGTTTCAACCCAAACATGTGAGTCATCTTCAGGGTGTGATTTGAGCAATGAGAGTGTTCAAGTACTCGTTATTTTTTTTCCAAAATTAATTATCATTATATACATGAAAAAAAAAGCGGCCAGACAGAAGCTATCCTCCCAAAAATTAAATTCTGGATCCACTAGTATTACAGATGGCATTTCTATTACTTTTACAGTTAAGGGTGCTGCTTTAATAGTTTTATTTGTATGCTAAAGAGATGCTGCTTTTTACTAACTTACATATAATAAAAATTTATTACTTTCTTAAGAAGACCTCTTGTAATTTGGATCAATATATTTAAAATGTTGAATGAGTCACCTTAGCAAAATGATTATTAATAAATATCAGTTTATAAAAATTTATACACGAACTAAACAATTTATCTTTTATTTTACTTCATGACAAAAGAGAATAAATTATGTTCATTAACAGTAAATGATAAACTGGCATATAAAGTATTTTTTCGTTCATTATAATATAATGTTCCATTTCAAATATTTTAATGACCTGAAGAAGTCAAGAATTACAATAAGGTATAAATAAAAGACTTTGGTTGACTCCTTGCATATATTTTATATAAATATTTATTAATATATAAATTTATTTATTAATATATATATTTTTTTATTAAGGACTTTTCCAACACTGTGATTGTCCTTGACCTAAATATCCTTTAAGATATCTAAATATTAATATACAAATACGTATAATTTTATTTATCATATTTAAATATTTAGAAATATTTAAATAAAAAAAAAAAGAAATGACAGCCTGGAGATTCGAACCCAGGACCCAAGCGCTGTGCACAATAGTATTACGGTTTTTTGTCATTAATAATTTTTTCAATAATATAAACAAATTATAAATATAAAATTTAATTAGACGAGGATTTTCCGGACAAAAAAATGTGGAACGCTTCACGATTTTGCGTGTCATCCTTGCGCAGGGGCCATGCTAATCTTCTCTGTATCGTTCCAATTTTAGTATATGTACCGCCGAAGCGAGTACATCAGTTGACGAAAACTTAGGGTTCTTATACTGCAGTAACGAAACTTAAAACATTATTTAGGCATTGAAAACAATATTTTACTGTTGAAAGACTATAAATTATTTAATTTAATTTTAAATTACCATGCTTAAA